GAAATCTGGGTATTATGCATCCCAAATACATCATCCTTTAATATGTGTTGCTCTATGTTATCAGTCGATTTTAAGATTTGTTCGGGTGCGGTTCTATTTTAAAAAGTGGTACACCATATATACCAGTGAGATTTAAAAAGCATTAATTTTGTAGATTTAAGTGTTTTCAATTTAGTTTTCATTAATATTTATAAACCAGAAGAAATTTCGAAGAAATAAATAAGTAAGTATTATCTATATATTTATAATGAACAACTAAAACTTAAAATTTCTAGTGCCGTACTTAGATTTTTAGTAGAAAATATACATATTTATGAACTGGAATTAATTTTGAGAATTTTGTATACATTTTGAATCCTTTTTTCTATAAGTTCTAATCCTAGTTTAAGATTCATATTTTAATACATGCTTCATATACATATCTTAATAAAATAACCATCAAGTTTTCATCCATTTTTTTTTGCGCTAGGAAAATTTTGACTAATTTCCATTGGAATGTAAACGATTTTACTAATGAAAATAATGTTTTGTGGTATGATAACGATAAAAAAAATCATAAATTGTACTAATTGTTTTCATAATATTTTTCTAATTAGTTTTTTGTTTTGTCAAGTTAATTTTCACATTATCTGATTATTAGAAAAAATGCAGGGCCGTATTTAGGACCATAAGGGCTATAATTATAACATACAATTGAAGTTCAAAAAAATCTATGAGTATGAAAATACCGAGTTATGTTTTTTTTATAGAAGAATGGATAAACAAAAATTTAGGGATGAATGGTACTGGAAGAAACCGCTCACTGAAGAGGAATTATATCAGCTGGCTGAGATAACTGAGGACCAAGCAGAAAATTCGGATATCGGGGGGGATTCTGATGCGGATGACCAATTTGACGTTCAGACAACAGGATCAGCTGATACACCCTCCTCAAGTTTTTTATCTGCAGATAGTTCCCCTTCAGTAACCCCGAGTCTATCAGACAGTTCCAAAAGATCAACAAGAAAAAGGGCAAAACTCGCCCTTCCAATTAATTTTTCGGATTATGATTCAGACGATTCAATTGCTGACAAAACCTATACGCCAGATTCTCCAATCCGCTTACAATATAGAATATCTTCTGATAGTGACGAAGAAGTGAATGAAGTAGAAGAACCAATTACTGAGTTTTCCATCTGGACAAAGACTCCTGTGCCCCCTACAAGATATATAAATTTCAATTTTTCAGAAAAGACAGGCCCTAGGGTACAGGTATAGTTATATATTTATTATCCAAGCTATGTATATAATATAAGTAATTTTTCAGGTCAATTCAAAAAATCCCTCTGATTTTTTCGAAAAAATGTTCACTCAAGATTTTTTAGAATATTTTGTTCAACAATCGAATATATACGCAGAACAACAAAAAATAAATTTACAACTTACTGTAGAAGAATTGAAGGCTTTTTTAGGAGTACTCATTCTAATGGGATTCAACCAGCTGCCTTCATTGAGACTATATTGGTCACGTGATCGTAACTTTCACAATGAAAGGATAACAGAAGTTTTTCCCATCAAAAGATTTTTAAAAATACTCCGTTGCTTACATCTAAATGATAATCAGACAATGCCTGCTCGGGGAACGCTTCACTTTGACAAACTCTACAAAATTCGTCCATTGATCACACACTTATCTGAAGTTTATTCTAATTCTTTCACACCTAGTAGAAACGTTGCCATAGATGAGAGTATGGTTGGTTTCAAGGGACGTACTGGCCTTAAACAATACATGCCAATGAAACCCATAAAAAGGGGTATCAAGGTGTGGGCTTTGGCATGTTCTGAGACGGGCTACTTGTATGCATTTGATATATATCAAGGAAAAGAGCATGATGCTGGGTCGGACACACTTGGAGAACGAGTAGTTTTGAAATTGCTTGCTAATTTGCAAAACAAGGGTTTCTGTGCCTTTTTTGATAATTTTTTCACCACCATTCCACTAATGAAAAAATTAGCGAACAAATCACTATTTGGATGTGGAACTATTCGCCAAACTCGGAAGCATTTTCCAAAAGAAAAATTACTTGAAGATAAAAAAATTGCAATGGGTCAATCAGATTTTGCAGTTTGTGAAGAAATATCTGTTGTCAAGTGGAAGGACAGGGGAACTAAGTCTGTAACAGTAACAAGTAATATGCATAATGCTGCAGAAATTGGAGAAGTCCTTCGTACAAATAAATCCGGTAAAAGAGAAGCTGTAACATGCCCTAAGTCTATCGTGGATTACAACAAATTCATGGGAGGCGTCGATCGTTTTGATCAAAGACATGCAGCGTACAATCTAAGTTGGAAAAGTAGGAGGTGGTGGATGAAAGTCCTATATTACTTTATTGATTCTAGCATTGTCAATGCATATATATTGTACAAAGAAACCCTTAAAAATAACAATCCAAGACTAAAACCAATGAGTCAGCTAAAGTTTCGAAGTCTTTTAGCAGACCAACTAATCGGAAATTATTCAAATAGGAAAAGACCTGGGCCATTAACAATAAGAAATAATTTTGAAAATATTTCACATTTTCCAGTAAAAACCACAAAAAGAAGATGTCAAGAGTGCAGTAAACGAGGTTTCCAGAAAAGAAGTAATTATATGTGCAATGAGTGCCAAGTAGCTTTATGTGTAGAATGCTTTGGTCTCTACCATACCAATTATTAACTTTGTAAGATTGTTTGTTCATTTATTATAGAGTTTGGTTTTATTTTTCTTTATTTATTGTATGTTTGGTTTTTATTATAAATTTGTTTAAAAGCTATTGTGTTTTTTATTCTGATTTCATTTTATTATTTTATTATTGGGTAATTAAAGGAGATGGTATAGGGTTTGTACCAGAGAACACAGCCCACATATTTAGTCCTAAATGGTCTCTGGTAAAATGGTTTACCGCCTAATATAAAATAAAAAAATATAGAAAAATTGATTGCTAATTACATATTATCTTTTCTTGTCTCCAGAAGACTGCATAATTAGCATTTTTTATAAAAAATATTATTAGGAAAATTTTGCCCGTTAAAGGGTTAAACAAACATCTAAAAATTCTACAAAATAAACACATTACCATTGCCAGACTTTTAGCAAATGCACTGGCAATGTAGGAAACGCTTCCCTGAAAAAATAAATTGAGTTTTCTTGTCACATCTTTTAGCGCCCGTACAAACATATAACGCAAAGGCGTTAATATTTCCCCAAATTTAATTACAACCCACTTTTTCTCATTTTCATTTTGTTCCTTGTTTGGCCACAATACGCTGATTATTGTTAACCATCTGGAAGTTTTTTATGTATACGTGATGTGAAAACATTGTTATGAAATCTATAATGAAAATAAATTATTCACCTTTTGTTAAAACAGAGGGTGTATGACCATAGGATTACTCCGTCCTATCAAATTATGGTGGGGTATTATGCTTCAAAATCCAAACTAAATTTTACTTTAGGATTTAACTTTCCAGAACAATTTATTTTACTATAAAATGTTTTTTACTAACACTTCTACCCCCATTCATGAATCCCAATTGAATGGGGTTATTACTAAGTCCCAGGTTGAGGAGGATTCCGGATTGTACTTAGTTTTGGGTCAGTTCAATGTCCTCCAAAAACCCTTTCCAAAATTTGATTCTAAGAATCTTTTAAGAAGATATGACCCGGAATAATGGAATATTCTTAGAACCTTCCCTTATTGCTAAGAATGTTATTAGGGACTTTTAAAACATTCAATAGATACCCTTTTAATGATGTAATTAGATTCTTAGAAGCTTCTTAAAACCTTCCTAAAAAGCATTCTAAGAACATTTTAAGAATACGTTTTTGGAATGTTCTTAGAAGGTTTCTTATGGAGCTTCTAGGAAGCTTTTGAGAATATTTTCAAATATGTCAGATACCCACGTTCTAATATGTTGGATTCTATAGTATACATTCGTAAAATTCTTCAGGAGGCGACAAATACGCCTCACTGTCATAATATGACAGTGAAATGTATTTGTCGTCCCCTTAAAAAATTTTGCGACATATTAATATATATTTATTTAAAAATATTAAATAAACAATTTGACCTCTAAAACATAAGTTGTATGACATTATTTCATAAAAAGTAAAATTGGAAAATTTTGTGGGATAAGTCAGATTAGATTGAAGTTGAAGATAGTTAGGATTATTATATATAAAAATATTAATTTAGAAATAAAAAATCGGTATACAAATTAATAAATATTTATTTTTAACATAAAATAAAATATAAAAAACAAAATATTTCCTTATAAAATAATTCTTCATAAAAGAAAAAACCAAATAGTTCTTCATAAAAAAAAACATTTTGGGTTGTGTTTTTTAATTAGTATTTAATACTAAGTATAGGTACCTAACTGAACTGAATATGCTTAACAGAATGTTCCAGGAATATTACTAAATGAATTTTCTATAGAAATTACTTTCTCAAAATTCTAAGCATATGTTCAGAGTGGATTAATTTTTACCACTAAACATTGCACTTTCTTAGGATTATCCTATATTTCTTTTAAGCATGTTCTTTAGAAGAAATATAACATGATCCTAAGAATATTCTCACTGGAAGGTTTAAAAAGCATTCCTAGAACATGACTAGAAGAAATATAGCATGATCCTAAGAATATTCTCACTGGAAGGTTTAAAAAACATTCTTAGAACATGACTAGAAGAAATATAGCATGATCCTAAGAATATTCCTGCTGGAAGGTTTAAAAAACATTCTTAGAATAAACTGTGCTATCAGGGATGGCCCGACCCGGCTGATAAAAATCCGTGGGGCGGCCTTAACCATAGACACTGTCTTCCACGACCTCCTAGGGTGGATTTACCAGCCGGCGTAAAAACTTCGGATCCAACAAACACAGATAAAGCTGTGATTAGTGGCGGTTAATGTCTTTGGGGCCTGCCATACGTTCCCATACTCATATTCATACTATAATTTTTTTTTTAATTGTCCTAGATGCAGCAGCAATGCCCACCGAGAAGCGATATTTCGCCATGCTCGTGTCAAGTGAAGAAGAACGGTCTGGACATCTTGTGCGAGTTTACGGACCAGCAGCACATCAACAACGCGATGGCCATACTAAAAGGAAAGTCGCTGGTCATATTCTACCTGAAGCTGAGGCACAACAACCTGCGCAAGCTGCCTGGTTTCGTCTTCTTAGGTCTGGATATCAGACACCTCACCATCCACAACAGCAGTCTGTCCGTTGTCGAAGAGGCTTCACTAAGTAGTATAGGTAAGTAGACAAAAATTTTGACGTCGACCAATCATGTGAAGGAATATTCACCACCAAACAGATTTGAATCATTTGCAGATGAATAACGTAGCATCTAAAGTTTTGGAAAAAATTAAACGCCGAAAAAACAACTTTGAAAAATATATTTAAGTGAACAACTCGCAACATAAAAATAATCTTACACTAGAAAAAATCACCTCATTTAATGAACTGCCAAAGGTCCATTGTCTTTAATTTGGCGAAGCTTTGTTTAAACTTGTCTCTGGACGGATGTTATATCTACTTCTCGATTTTGTTGATGAATTCTACGACGCAACATTTGTTCGTCTGTGGCTTTCCAAACATTGTAATAGACCTTCCTGCTCAGTAAGGACCAAAAAGTTTCAATTGGTAGAGCTTGAGGTAACCAATCTGATTCGAGAGATCAGGCCAAACATTATTTCGTCTCCAAGGAGGTGTTTAATAAAAAAAAACAACTAATTTTGGAAGACATCTTTGGGTATATATATTAGCATCAACTGATTTTCCTCCTACTTTCCCAACATACGGTCTAGAGATACCTGGGTGAATATATTGAGATGTCTCCCAAGTGAAAATGATCTTTTATTTTTGGTTGTTTCACTGTTAGTCTAGAATGGGGTTTTTGGGAAGCCACCAGGTCTAGTAATAACATAACATAAGTGGTTTTGCACTAATGCAAGAATTTTAAGAAACCGTACATTTTAAATATTAGAGCCTCACGGAATATAGCTTCACAGAGGTTAGGATTTCGTATGTTTTTTTTAAACATCCCTTTGTATATTTAAAATAACTTAGTGTATCTTTTGACACCTTAAAATTTAAAAAAAAAACAATTGTACATACATAAAATATGTATACAAAAAATCTACTTACTGAGATATTACACTTCACGGTGGATAGATTTTTAAATAGCAAATTAATGAACTTAAACTTTTGAATTATAAAACAGCAACACTCTCATCTGCATATAAATTCTAACCTTCAGGAATCACATGCATCTATAATGTCGTAAACAGAGGTTTTTGGTTATTTAAAATGATTAAAGCGCCATCCGTTGCATAAAATTTAAAGCAAAAACAGATTCACGGAGGATATAATCAATATTTGATTCGATTGCTTTGGAAGTGTTTAATTTACTTAGTGAACTGATATTTTATTATGCTTTTACTACCTCAGATATTTGAAAACATATAGGTAAACCTATAAAGAGTAACAGTCACGGAGGATAGGTTTAAGACTTTCAAAACATTGTAAAAAATTATTAAATTAATTGCGGTTTAAAATCTGGAACTTGAGCTGTAATATCTACTTAATTATGGAAGATCAAAACACAAAAAAAGTGTAGGTCAAACTCATTTAGTTTTATAAAATATCACGGGTAACACCATCGGGGGGCATTTCGTGAGATTCACCCACCTCTATCTGAAATGGCAGCCCAAACTAAGACTTTTTCTTCAAATTCTGTTTTCGCCTTTGTAGCAACTTTATTAGGACACTCTTCAATGTTATCACCTTAACTTCTTTTTATTTCCGAATTGAAAAGAGTAAAATATTTTTCGTCATACAAAATGGATTAGTCGTACTGCTCTGCAGCATATCGGAATTCTCTTTAGTTGATTCTGCGTGTATTTTGGGCATTTCCGTCTTTTGCGATATTTTAAGTGTTCCTTGTGTAGTGGTACTTAATACATGAAATCTTCTTCCAGTTCGATGAGATGTACCCACTTTATGTCTTGCGCTTTCAACCACTCTGTTTTTACGAACTTCACTCAGAACTTTCGGTCGTCCACTTTTTGGTAAGTTAAAACAAGGTATTCCTTGTTCGCATTGAGCTATTGTCCGATAGGTTGTGGTTTTGGAGATATTTTCCTTTCGAAAAATATTTACAATTTCACATTTCGATAGGAGTCCAACAAGGTTGTAGTCTGACGGGCCGCCAGGTGAGGCAGTGCCTCATCATAGAGAATTAAAAAATTAAGTATAATTTAAATATTTTACTTTCTATAATATACTAAGAATTGTGAAATAGTCAATAAAATTGATTGATTTTAAACGTGGAATACCCAGCAACATTTAAATTGTTTGAATTTGAAACGACCGCAATTTACACTAATATTTATAGCTAGATGATTGGCTCAGAAGCATGCCTGAACTAATTTAGACTCACGATTGGCGTTAGCCTTGTTGTCGCGTTCTATTACAATGCGATATCACGCAGGCACGCCTACATCCAAGGAAATAAGCAGGTATTGTGGCAACACTGTTGCGAAATTTTAGATAAATTATACTTCACACGTTTTTTAAAATTCAATAATAAATGTTATTATTTTTCTTATAATAAATCGATTTAATTGAAATTATATTTCTATTCTAAAATAAACATATTTTAACACTATCGCCATCTTGTAGCCATCACAGTAACCAATAAAATAAATACAGATTCCTTCTTTATGTTTGTTTTGGTTATAAAATTCTGAACTGTTTAAAGAACAAATCTGTGGTTATTTACGCAATATTTTGTTTATTCGATTTCCATGAGTTTGTCTATTTTATGATTCTTTTGTAAGTGGTTTATTCTGTAGGTTTAGTTAATTGAACTTGGTGATTTATGTGAATTTAGTCATTATGGATATTATGGTAAGAAATTGTACCGATATTGTTGACATTCACGTGGTTCTTGCTGAACAATGAAATATTAATTAGACAAAAATGAGGTTCATTTAAAATAAAGGTCATTTTTACAATAAAATATATTTCATTGACAAAGTAGAGGATTCCTTCCCCACCACAGTCTAAGTTTTTTACTTAGTTTTAAGTATAGGTTGTGAACTGCGACGTCAGTTTTTTTAAGTTGGGTTTAAAAAAATTTCTTTGCCTATATAATGCAAAACCCTGCCTCTGCCTCATCAAAATGAAATGTCACGGGCCGCCACTGTCTACAACTTGTAGATATTTTTTCTAATACCCAAGTTGTATGACATTTTTTTGAGAATTTCAAAATTAATGTTTTTGAGAAATTTAAAACTAATGTATTTTGACATATCAAGGTTGCTTGGCAAAGAATAATTGTGAACAATGATAAATTGTTTGGTGCTCATTATAAATCTGTAATTCATGTATAAAAAAAAACTTTAGATGCATACGTTAGAAGCAGAAACTAAATTTTTATCGCACATCTTTAACAGTTGCTCTTTCGAAAGATGTTCCAATGGTATATTCTCGATATTTTTAATAAAACTACTATAGTAAAACCTTATTAAAAGTAAATATTTATTTCACTCAATAATTTTTTCGCAAGCTCGTTAAAACTTCTGCAACTCCTAAATTTTTTTAAATTGGATTTTGAAAAAAACGGACGTTCGAATCATCCTTGGTAATCAAATTAAAAATTTTAAGTTAATTAGACAGCCCTAAAAGTTTTATCGCGTTAAAGGAGTTATGAAATTTTTCAAGCGTTTGACAAAAGTTTTGTTTTGCTCCGTGGCGGTTAAGTTTAATTAATTTTGTGCATTTTAATGGAGCAGATGTGCAGTTTGCTAATGGGACGTTTTAAAATATTATTTCGAAAGTAGTTATGCGGAATTTTAAAGGAAATGAAGAAAATGCACAAATATGTTTAATTTGCATAAATTGCAACTTTTAGTTGAAAATATTTTCACAGCGGAATACATTAATAACTTAATGTCAATAAATTAAACTTGATTAAATAGTTCAAACTAATAACTTGCAGTATTTTATATTTAAAAATGCCATTGGTTACACTGCAAATATTTCATGAATATTTATTAGACTGGGCCAAAAAAAATCGACTATTTTTTTTTGGAAAGTATATCGAAAATATTGTTTGGGTTGACAAAAAAAAAATTATGGTGAAAGTTTGAGTCCATAATATTAATATTAAGAGGTCTATCATGGCAATTTTAGATTTTTTTTCCTGAGCGAGTTTTTGTCTCATAATTCCCAAATCATTGAGTTTAACAAAATTGACTTGGGAATATTCTTTGAAGAAACGTGAATGCTTTACAAAAAAGGTTTAATTGGAAATTCCCGTCAGATGAACCCTTTTCTTACAATCATGCCTTAAAAATTGGTATAGTTTTACAATTTGATCTTTTAACTTTGGAATTTTGTAATTCAAGTAAAAATCAGTACCCTGAAAAAAAAACGATAAATATTCTTATGGGAAATCAAATGCTCTACAAAAAAAATCTTTTATCATTTTTGGCTAAATTCACTCCATCAAAAGTTATTCAAGATTAAATTTGAAGTCAAAACGAAATTTTAACCTTGAATAACTTTTGATTGAGTGAATTTAGCCAAAAATGTTAAGAGGCTTTTTTTGTAAAGCATTTGATTTCCCATAAGAATATTTATCGGTTTTTTATGGGTACTGATTTTTACATGAATTACAAAATTCCAATTTAAAAGATCAAAATGTAAAACTATACCAATTTTTAAGGCATGATTTTAAGGAAACGGTTCATCTGACGGAAAATTTCACTTTAACCTTTTTTGTAGTCAATTTTGTTAAACTCAATTGTTTGGGAGTTCTGAGCCTAAAACTTGCTGAGGAAAAAAAAATTAAAATTGCGATGATAGACCTCTTAATATTAATATTATGGACTCAAATTTTCACAATAATTTTTTTTTTCACCTCAAACCATATTTTTGATATACTTAAAAAAAAAAATAGTTGATTTTTTTGGCCCAGTCTAATATTTATACGATTTAAATGATTGTGCATGCATAAAAGAATCTGTAAGATCCTCTACGATCATCATGGTCTTTTCTTTCTTCCTCCTTTAAAAGGAAGGTTAAAATAATGGTGGTGGTCTTTTCTTTCTTCCTCCTTAAAAAGGAAGGACCTCAAACCTCTATAATCCCTTGTTTATAACTGTCCAGGATAAATCCAACAATTCTTTTCATTTTAGGTAAAATGCTGACCCAATTGGATGTATCTCAGAATGGATTGACGCAAGTTCCATCTGCAGCCTACAAAAACCTCCATCATTTGCTAATACTGAACATGAACCACAACAAGATCAACAGCTTGCACGCTAGAGCTTTCCAAGGTCTAGATACTCTGGAAATACTCACTTTGTACGAAAACAAGATCAACAACATCGATCCGGAGGCTTTTGTTGGACTCGAAAAGTAAGTAAAACCTTTAACTTTTTTTGTTATTGGTGAATTAAAAATAAAACTATAACATTTCATTTTAACGATAATATTATTAATTTGTTTGTGTTACTTATATAATACAGGGTATTAAACACAATAATAAAATATAGAAGTTATTTAGAAAAATATTTATTTTGATGTGTGGTATTATCTGGCTGTTTATTAAATAACGTTAGGCCTCATGGCTAACTGGTATCAGTTGGGCACTGGGTAAAGATAAGGCAGCTCCTCAATTCAACCAAACAGTTTGCTAGGTTCCAAGGTAGCAAACAGTTCCAGGCCAAGCTAGGCCAGGCTTCAATATTTAACTTCGACAACACGCAAACAATTTAACCTGCTATGTTAGTTCAAATTATATTAAACGACTACAGCAGCCTGATATCGGGGTCGTCTTACTGATTAACTAGGTGCGAGTGCTAAAATATTACAAAAACGACTTGCTTGCTAATACCGTGGTGTTATCAGCAAAAAGCGTTATGTCCTGTTGATTGGTGGATCATTTATATATACCAAAAAAGTATTGGACCAAGAATTGGTCCCTGTGGTACTCCAATATTCATATCACTTATTGCTGTTGTTATCCCGACAATTTTTACCCTTTGATATCTATCAGACAAGTAAGACTCCATTAATATGACACTAAATATATTTACTTTAAAATTCTTAGAGACTATTCTTCATAAAAATAACGCTAAAAACCACCCTTTATATTTTAAAAATATTTCGCTGAGTGTTCGAAAAACTTTTATGCGTTTGTAAAAAATAGTGTGCTATCGATTAAGTCAACAGGCAGGACTTTTATAGAAGCGAAATGGGGCGGTTAAGAGAGTTACAAACACTTTTATGACGTCCGTATTACTTTTAAGAGCGCTAAGCTATTTACGCAGATGAAATAATAAATGTAGTAGTTCGTTTTTAGAGGTATTCAGTAACCGGTTGAGTAGTTTTCAAAACCAAGTATAATATAAAAATAATATTATTTATTGAATTCAAGTGGTATAAATATTAGTATATTGTTAGGGAACCAAAAAATCACCGTAAAAACCAAAATATGCATTTTGTACGTGTTGCTTAACATTCAATAGTGTTAAAAATTGTTGGTAAAATAAACGTATTTGATTGGTTACTTTAATGGCGCTTTATTTAAAATCTAACTTGAGACTAGATTTTAAATGTAATGAGTAACGAAAACAATAACTTTGTTTTCTACCATGTATGTAAATATTAAACAAGTGTATTTAGTATTCATTTGTAAAATTTGTAATTTTTTTAATTTTTAAAACTGGTTTAATCATTATCATATGATATATATATTCTCAAAAGTACCATTCATATACGGTACGAAACATTGTTTCTTTATTAAATACTGTTAAATCCATAAATTTTATTAATCAATATAAAGAAATACATATAAAACAAAAAAATATATATTTCAATATCTTATAGTTTTCTTGTGATATTTTTTAAATGCAACTTTACAAGCATTTTGAAAAATAGCATGAGCAGTATCGTTTAATTTCCTGGTCTCTTTTAAGTTTAATATATTGTTAATTTGCTTTATTAAGTTGTTAGGGTTTACCTTTATAATTTTTTTAATTATTATTAGATTTAAATAACTATGAACCTCACAAGTGAATTGTTCATTTTGTAACGATTTAATTATCGATTTCACAATATTTCTTTCCTGTAGATTCTCTTTTAGCCAAGTTTTAAAGCGAATATAAATTAATCTTATTTGTCTTTTAAAATTTTCACTTAAATATATGAGACTTCTCTGTCCTGCAATGTATTCTTTCCTGGTGACAAAATTATGATCATCACTAATACCTTTTCAAATAATTTCCTTTTTCCAGATAACTGGACCCATTTTTAAATAAGATATGATAGAATTAAACGTCAACGGATAGAATTGAGCGTAAAAAATTGTACATAATTTGTCAATGTGATGCTAAAATCATTGCATCAAGTAAAAGTGGTAGTGCAACTACAGGGCGATAGATAGCGTTTACACGAATAATACCATAGGGTCCCTAGATTTGGGACCTTAGAATACCAAAATGTCAAAAGTCAGAGTCTTATAACCTATATGATGCACCACCAAAAGTATGTTATTAGCCATTTTTAAAGACATTTTCAGCTATAAAACCCAGAAATTTTGCCATCTAAAGTTAGTTTCTGGTATGTATATTATTATTTTATGTATCCAACGTATATTTTGTTAAATATTCTAATATATAATTAATAATAATCTCATTTACCTATCGAACAGCTGTTAAAGGTAACAAAGGTCCATTATTATCCAGTTCTGCCTCAAAATAGCGTTTTAAGGATGATACAACTCTTGACTCCGACTATTTAAATGCTTCGTCATTTTAAATATAGGAAAAACAAAAAAAACAATATATAACAAACACAAAAACCGCAATGAAAACTTAAACGATATAAAATAACACAAACAAAATAAACGAAATTATACACGAATTAAACGAAATATTCAAAAACACAACTGACAGCTTCAAAATTCTAAAACGTGAATTTCTTTTTCTATGCGTCATTTTATTAAGCAAAATTTTAATCTAAACATGACAACATTGCAATTGCTGCCAACTAAAGTTGTTTAAAATGCATTAAAATATTCAGTCACAGACTTCGTTTTATACATTTAGTGTTGGTACCAGTGCCCAAAATTATGACGTCATTGATGACGTGTACGTCGATTCCTTTTATTTATTTTATTATTTAAATTTACTATACTACAGTGTGTAGTAGTATATGATAAAATCCCTAGCGCTCTCTCTTGGTTTGGCTAAATATTATAATACTGTACCGACATCTGACATAAGATATTTATTGGTTTGGTCTAGAGTAACTAATCATCAAAATGACATTTTTGTTATTTTACAACTTTAATCCATCAAATGTTACAAGGTTATTGTTGTTCCTGCCGGAAAACACACATCGGTTGATCAGTTTATCAGTAATTAGCGCAATTAACATGTATCAATAATTAACGGCAAAGGCTGCGGTGTTCGTCGGGGCTTATGAAAACCAGACAGGGTTAATTGGTGTCAACTTGATCGTTACCGTCCGAGGCGGCGGTTAATGTTTGCGGGGCCGCCCGGATAAATTTAAACCTTTACGGGTGCATTCACAATCAATTAGAATCGTTGTGTGTAGATTTGGCGGCCGCTTGTTGATCAAATTGCCACATAATTAGACGTTTTGTTGATGAATAACCAACATGTTTATTAATTGACTGATGTACTAATTTTACTCTGAAAAAAAGGGGCGGCAATTGCACTTTTGCTCCCCCTTAAAAATATTAGTGTAATTAAATGAAAGCAAAAAAGTCAGCACTCGCGTAAAATAACACGGTGACTCTCTGTGAAAACTAATTTTTTTTATATTCTTGTTAATTAGGTCATAACTAAAATTTTAAGAGCAAAATAAAAAAAAATTGACGGTTTGAATTGTTTTAATTGGCTGTTTATTAAAAATATTATGCACTCTTTCAATTATCCAATTAAAACTAGCGATTTAATTTAAATATTTAAAATTTGCATAACTAAAAAAAGGTTTTTACAATTTTTTTTATATATTTTACTGTTTTGTTGCAATAAACCATGGAGCCTACACAAGGAGCCCGAACTTAATAGGGAAAATTGACAAAACCTGCCCTCTAAATTGCACAAATTAAGTATTTTTTTTCACCACCAGCGGCGCTGATTGTTGATGCGTCCTGACGTCTGCTCTTTTGGTGGCGTTTCGGTACAAATTAGTCAATTGTTTCAGAATAAACGGGACACCAGCGCCTACTTTCCTTAGGAAGATTCTTGTTTACATGCAGTTCGGACTCCTTGTGTAGGCTCCATGCAATAAACGTTCAAACTTTTAATCTAACCTTTGACGTATACATTTATGTTCCCTTAATTAATATATCCTTAAAGGTTGCCATGAAACTTAGATCTATTAAAAATTTATTTGATGTTTGAATTGTCATTTTCAGTATACGTATTCTATAATTTTTGTTTAGTTTTTTAAAGTGTTTTTTATAAACAAAAATGAAAAATTGTAGTAAAAGTTACGAAGAAATTCATGAAATTTAACTAAGGACCGGTTTATTCATCTTTAGTAAAGTTTATCGGGCCGATAACTTTCATGTCTTGGCAATATCTAGTATCCAAAGAAATTATTCGTCAAATAAATCAAAAATGAATAAATCGGCCCTAAATAAAATGTGGCACCCTTAGAATTATTGTTTAATAAATGTACCTATACTATACATTTAACCTTAAATTAAAACTTTAAACGTGTATTACAACAAAACAGTAAAAGATATAAAAAATGTATAGACCTTTTTTTAGGAAATTAACTAATCTTTAATCTGATTTAAAAAGTTATGATAATATTTAAATAAAATCGCAAGTTTTAATTGGAGAATTGAAAGTGTGCATACATATTTTTAATAAACATCCAATTAAAACAAAATTAACCGTCAAAATTTTTTTTTTTTGCTCTTAAAATTTAAGTTATAACCTAATTAACAAGAATATAAAAAAATTAGGTTTCACAGAAAGTCCAAAAATCACCTCTCAGAACAGCACCGTGATAAATGTCCTTCACAACCCGTTGAACTATAAACAGAAATTTGCGTGCAACTTCACTTATGCTCTTCCTACTATTTGCATCAAAGTTATTGAAATAGCTTCTTTATTTTCACTGTTCTAATACGTTAAGTAGCACCTTCAAGGAAAGCGCTGGGAAAAACTTATCTCCCTAGCATTGCCCCCATACTTCCCATAAATAACACTATGTAACATGATATTTGTTTATCTGGATTTTATTACACAAATCGTAGTAGGCCATGCCCCCGATTACGTAACATACATTTGTTTTTTCAAACTGTCAAATTTTCAACGATAGCCGTCAGATCGTGTTGATGGCTTTGAGTGTCATTAGGGGACATCCATTAATTACGTGAGGCATTTTTCTGATAATTTAGACCCCTCCCTCCCCCTTGGTGAGATTTGGTAAGATGTGGCCATTAAACTTTCTTTGTGAACAACATATAAAAAAATGAATATTTTTTTTAACAAAAATTGGATTATAATACATAATTTTTAAACTCAAAAGTTAACTTGAGATTTTAAATGAAAGGTTTTCTTGGTAACCACAAAAGAGAAAATTATACTGACCTTGTCAAAGTTTTATTAGAAATGGGATGCCGCATGTCGTTGAAAGTACCTACACTATTTGCATTCGCATCTTGACTTTTTTCGTGAAAATCTGGGAGATGTCAGCGAAGAACATGAAGAAAGATTCCATCAAGATATTCGGGCAATGGAAAAGTGATAACTAGGAAGGTGGGATGCGACAATGATGGGTGACTATGTTTGGAATCTACTTCGGGAAGAAAATGCATAATATAAAAGAAAAAGTCGTATTAAAATTCATTTTTGAGCCAAGATTTAAAATCTTTGTTAAAAAAATATTTTTCTAGATTTTATGTTTTGTTAAAATATTAATTCTGAGTTGAATTTCTTGCCATTTCTTGTCAATATTTTTTTTTTGTTTTTGATAAAACTGTGTTTGATTATATTATATAAATACCCCTTTAAAAAATAAAAACTTATCACTACATTTTTTATTAGAATAGTTTTTTGGAACACAAATATTGATAATTTAATAAAAAAATCCAATACACAAAACAAAAATCAAATTTTGTTACATAGTGTAATTATCATTTCGGCATAATCAGAGAAGGAATACATATATAAAAATGATAAATAATGACAGGAACAAAACTTAACAGCAGTTTCACAATGAAGTGGATTGAAGTCGAACAAATATATTACATATTATCGCTAGTAGCGCCTCGGCTGATGATCGTAACAAAAGTATAACTTTTGATAATCAGCTGTCAAACACGTGTGTTACAAACTAGTATTTTTGAGAATAAAGCCGGAATATGTTAAAAAATATCGAAAAAAAAACCGTGGCACGATTTGTTGTGTTGTTGGGTGTATTTCGAGAGGAAATCTTGGGATGAGTTTTTATCGGTTTTCTAATAAACAGTGTTAATCAGAATGAAGAAATAAATTTCATACAGTCCCTGTAAATATAAATTGTATCTATTAAATACAATAAATACACATTTTAGTAATGATTAACGTGAAAAGTAAAAAATCATCAAACAAATAAGTCGTCTAAATTTAAACAGCATTTAGCATTATTAAAAGCGTTGATTAAGAAAGTCTCCACGCAACGGTAAAATGCCATTATATTATGTATTATATATAATATTATGTTGCCATGATTTCTTAGGTATATTTTGTTGTTTAAAATGCAGTTGTCGGCGTTTTTTAGAGAACTCAAATATAAAAATGGTTGATTTTAAGGTTATATTTGTGCAAAAATTATTATTTACTAATTTCTTAAAAATGTCCAAACTTAAATATAAATTATATTAGGTAAGGATATCATTAGTTAATTCTGCACCAACAAATGTACTTACCGAATGGGATCCTTTGGCAAAACATGAAAATGCAACGATTTAGTTTTTGAATTTTATTTACAACTAAAAACACAATAAATAATTCACCGTGATCCCTTAGATAAAATACACACACTAACGTAACTATATAAGCATTTAAGCGTTGAGTTTCTTAATCAATGATATAAGGAATAATCAATCGAAATCGAGTACTAAACCAGTTTTTTAGTTTTTTCCTTGCAACGCAAAACACAAATAACGTGCGCTAAACTTTTTTGGCGCGAGTTCTGAAACTGAAATTTTATTTGAAATTATAATTAACATTTAATTTAAAAAATTACTGTTGTAATATAATAAAATGATAATAATACAATGTAGTTTAATTTTTTTCCATTCCTTTTAGAAAATTCATATTTTAACTTCCATCATATAATGTTGACACAAAAAGAGTGTAAAATGTAAAAGAGCAGTATATAAAATTACAATGTGTACTCTATTTTTGCTGGCGGATTTTATAAATTTCCATTAGGTTTTTATCTTTTAAACGCAAATGCAATTTTATTAAAATATCGCGGCAGAATGCTTTAATATAAAAACATTTTCTTTGTACTAGTAACTTATTTTGATTAAAACATAATTTGGGTGTGCAGGATGCATTGCAGGATAGCAAAGTGCTGTTTATTTGCAAGGGTCTATTTTTAAATTTTAGCCAAAGGCTTTTCAATTCCTGAATTCGGAATTGCCAATAAATAAAAATATTTGATAAGTTGATTTGATTTCAGAAAATATCCGTCTGCTTTAAAAATATTTACAAACGACGATATAAAATAAATTAAAAGACTTTCTTTTTGATTAAATTAATATCAGTATTTTTACCATAATCACTTAGATAAAATACACACACTAACGTAACTATTCACTTTTTAAATCAATAATATAAGCAATAAAAGGGTAAATCAGATAGTTATTGAACACTTAAGGAATATTATTTATTTAAATTTATATATGCCGTTGTTTCAAAGATTTTAGTTTTTTCTTATAAATATATAAAAAGGATAGTTTGTTTGTTTAAACTTTATTTACATTTACTTAAAAATAGGAATATTTGAATTTTTAATAATAGTTTTATAAAAACATGCAAAAAAGTATATTAAATGGACATTTTATATAGTAGTTGGACACATGGACCATAGTTATTGGACATACAATTTTTATATAAACATAACAACTTTACATCAAATAACATAAATTGCTAAATATTTTTAAAAGATAAATTGCTGTTTTAGGTAATTTTTTTCATTTAGTTTTTATAAATATAATATAATTCATATATTTCTTTCTCGAATTCCTCATCCCTTTTCTGGATTCTGAAGGTAACTACTGATTCCTTGGTCTGACTTCTGAAATAATTTGTTGCAAATATCATTAAGTGTGGTATCTCTAGTTTGTGAAGCATTTATAATGTTTAGGCCAGAACAGGATGATTTATATAAATCTAATATTTTTTCGGGCATGTTAAAAGTATTTTCCGAATTTATTAATTTGGTTGCCATTAGTTTTTTATGTTTTCTATCACTGTTATTCTGCAAGATGTCCTGTGACGAAGAAATCACTATATTACTTACTCTCTAAAAATAAATTAGTCAAAAATGTCACAGCGAAAAAGCAGCCATTAATAATTCTCGTCAACAGCAATTTGTATCCAGGACATTTAGCAGTCAATTCCTGTGAAATATTATTCGCTGAAACCGAAAATGTCGTCAAAAGTTATAAAAGTAGAACAGTTTTTGACGGTCTTTTCGGATTCAGGGGACAATTTTACATAAGAATTGGCTGGTAAATGTCCGGGATATTAATAGAGTATGATATTGGACTATGTCCAATACTAGAAATTTACATTTTTTACCAACCAGTAATTGGACACTGGCCATTTTACTGTTTGTTTTCAAAATTATAATTAAAACGCATTAAAGTGACAATATTTAAAACACATTTATACCACACACTGATCTGTAAGCTTTTTATGAATATTTTTTATTGTAACTTAAACACAGCCCTGCTCTTAATAAAAAAACAAAAATCTTACCACCAAAGTAACGTGCGAACTTTTTTGTCCTATATTGGTCCCCAAAATACAGTAGTTCTATATTATTACCGACTGAGATAGTTTTTACAGTATTAATGTTAATTTTCCAATAACTATAAAGTGTTCGATAACTGTCTACTTTACCCTATAATAATTTATTTTCCATTAAAAAGTTCAAAACCTCGTGTGAAAACGAAAAAGTCTAAAAAAACTGAATTTCATAAGTTTTACTTTTAAAAGTAGCAATATAATCATTGATTTTTAGCTTGTTTAATGCAGCATACCTTTTTATTTTATTGAAGGTCCGAAAAGTTTAATAAAAAGTTTTACGTTGGATAATAACCTTAACTATTTAATTGACGTTTATATAAAGTGACAATCCTGAAAAAGTTTAAATTAGAAGTCATACTTTTAATTGGATTATAGAAACTATTGTTACACATCTAAAAATTTCTTTCAATCATTTTTTTTATAAATACAGTAACAGGTAAAATTAACTGTCTTCAGATAACAAAGATGAAGCTTTGCAAAAAATGTGATACTGCAACTAATTTCCTTTATGTGTTATTTAATTGTTCATGTAATTTTACTACGGGCATGTAAATATTTATTACAACTAACGTAACTAACAGCAAAGGATGTAACCGGATTAATTTGTACGTTTAAGGTCTTTGAGTTAATTTGCGTTTCACTAATTAACGTTATTTAGGTATCAAAGGAAATAAAGCATGTGCTTTTGACCTGCAGGGCGTGTAAAAAATTTAATTTAATTTAATTCGTGTGTTGTTTTTACTTAATCATTAATCATTATAATAAAATATAATATATATTATAAATGTATTATATTATATTAATATATTATATATTAATCCTTAATAAAAAAAACCTCCTAGGCTGTAAAAATAATTTAGACCAATCGGGTAGAGTTTTTTACCTCCTAGTCTGTGAAAACTCATTTGCACCAATACAAGTATTCGATTACTGTCAAATCTAATCTAACCTCACTTTCTATTTCAATAATTATTTTAATAGAAGGTTTTATGCATTGTTTGAAAAATAAAATTATGCCTTAAAGATAAAATTTTGCATGCTATATTGTCTTTTTGTACTTCGCTCAAAACTTATAACATAGATTACTTACAATTAAATTATTTCTCTTATTGATTTAATTATTTGCCAATTATAGGGATGTTTACCTTTCTGTGTAAAATAAATTCACAAATATTTGTTACCCGGTTATTTGTTTCCTTTCATCTCGATAAACATATATAAATGTATACATAAAACGTTGCGTCTTTGTTTGTTTCAGGAAACTGAAAAGACTAAATTTAGGCGGAAACGGTCTTACTTCAGTGCCACAAAAAGCTTTGGTTATATTGGATATGCTGAAGAAGCTGGAGATGCAGGAAAATAGAATTTCGGATATAAGAGAGGGCGATTTTGAAGGTAGGATTGTTTTCTTTTTTTATTTATATTGCTATAAAAAGAGTTAAAAACTGCTGTGTTTAAATTTTGCAAACATTTTTAATTTTTAGTGTTTTTTAATGAATTTTCCATTTTTATAAATGACATGACATATTGAAAATTAGTAATAAATATAAAATACTAGCTACCTGCGATTTCGTTGGCGTGGAAATATTACTTTGCACTAGCTATGATAAAAGGTAAACCAAAGGTCAAAGGTCAAATGTCAAAGGTCAAATGTTTAAATATGTGAATTAGTAACATCATTGTTTTTCATAGAAGTCGGTTTTACTTTTAAATAGTTATTTTTTAGTTAAAGTTTATTATTGACTGTTTTTTTATTTATAACATGGTTAACCATGAAATACCATGGTATTTCCAACATTTAACAGCCAATTCTTATATATAATTGTCCCCTTAATCCGAAAATCCTGTCAAAAATTATGAAAGTAGGGCAGGTTTTGAGATATACTCTCTAAAAATGAATTAGTCAAAAATTACTAATTTAATAGTTGCTGCTTTTTCACTTGTACCATAGTTAACCATGGTATCCCAAAATTAAACAGCCAATTCTTATGCAAAATTGTCCCCTGAATCCAAAAATGTCGTCAAAAGTAGAACAGTTTTTGAGATATATTCAATTTTCCATTTAAAATGGAATTGACTATATATCAAAAACCGCTCCATTTTTGACGGTATTTTCGGATTCAGGGGACAATTTTACATAAGAATTGGCTGTTAAATTTTGGGGAAAACATGGTATTTTATGGTTAACGATGGTACAAGTGAAAAAGCAGCCTCTAATAACTATTAAATTAGTCATTTTTGACTAATTCATTTTTAGAGAGTACTCAATTCCATATTATATGGAATATTGACTATATCTCAAAAACTGTTCTACTTTTCTTACTTTTGACGACATTTTCGGATTCAGAGGACAATTTTACATGGAAGTTGACTGCTAAATATTTGGAATACAAATTTCTATTGACAAGAATTATTAGTGGCTGCTTTTTTGCTATGACAATTAGTCATTTTAAATTAATTTATTTTTAGAGAGTGGATGGATTGTTTTTAAAGTATTTGTATATCATTTAAATTTCCACCAAACCTAATTTTTTATATGTAATACTAAAATAGGTAATAAAGTAAAACATTTGCAAATTTTTATTGATGATTGAAATGGTTGAGGGTCTATAATCCTGAAAGGTAAATTCTCCCCAATGTTGGAGTATGCCAGACCGATATCGATTTTTAGCAAAAACAAGGACTAACCTCAGGCTTTTAAGATTTAAGTAAGGCAAAGGATGGTGCATATTTAATTCAGCTTTTAGAGAGTAACTAAGTTACGTTAAGCAAAAAACTTTGTCTGTAGTGTTTATAATTTTAGCAGATTATAGATTATCTGGATAAATTGCAAAATATATTTATCTCAATTTTAAAAAACTTCATAAATAATCTCAATAAAATATAATATAATATAATATAATATTCTATAATAAAATAATTCAACCATAATTCTTTTAATTTTCAAAAAGGACCTTATTTTTACAAAACTTTTTGTAGACCCAGTGATAAAAGTATTTGATGGAAATTGGGAACTTAAAAGAAAATAATTTTGATAAAAAATGTTGCTTTATTAATCAATTTCTTAAACAAATCAAAATAACACATACCAACATAAATGAACACAATTAAATAACATACACACAATTAAATAACTTACCATTCTGAAATCAAATTTTAAAGAAATTTGGTACAATTTAATAATCAGTACTACTACACATGTATTTCGTAATTTTAACCCATTTCACTGCATCCCTTAATTTCTTTGTGAGTTTTCCGTTTTAAAAATAATTACAAACTAGGGTGGGTTAAAAAAATGGGGTAGTTCCAACGGGAAATTCTCTCCAAGGTCCAAAATCGTGGTAAAATTGTAGAATGTGATTTTTTTTACTCAACTTTCATTTTAATACAAAAGAAAGTGAATTTTATTTTTTTAATTTTTTACCAAAATTGCAAAAACAATGGAAAAAAAACTTTTTCAACTTTTGACTTTCAATTGGCTTTTACAGATTCTAAAACAAAAAAAAGAATTTTTCCTTGAAACTACCCCATTTGATTAAATATTTATTTAAAAAACGAGTTTTTTGAAATTTTTTTTTTTATGAGGTACAAATTCTACCCCCAGGCTAAGAAAAAAATCAAACATTTTTTTTTCAACCCACCCTATTACAAACCCTGCTTTTCTACAAACAATTCTGTTAAAATTGTACAAAATAAAATTAACAAACTACAAAGTCATGTTAACCAATCTGTTTTTTTAACAGTGTAGGGGGCTATCTATAGTTATAACTGAAGATTCAACAGATAAAATATTTAATGCTTTAAAGAAAATGCTGTTTTAGGTCTTAAAAACTTGGATTCTTTGGGATTGGCGCACAACAAGTTGCGCATTGTCCCGTCGCGAGTTTTTTCGCACTTAACAGTGTTAAATTCGTTGGAACTGGACGGTAACAACATCGACACAGTGGATCCGGAAGCCTTTGCAGGACTTGAAGGTAAACGTACTAGAAGTTAAATAAATTACGGCACGTTCGTTAGTTCATTTGCTCTCCTAAAATTCAATTTAAAACGTAGTCAATACGCTCCTAATTTTGTTTTCTCTCTGGGAATCGGCCGCTTTAGGCACGGTTAATTATGTTTATCATTTCCATGCTTTAAATCGCTTGAAAAAAGTCTCAAAGTTTTTTATACCCTACAGAAATATTAGGTTCTTTGTAAGGCTTTATTTCACAAATTAATTAAATAAATCGTATTATTATCTGAATTTCACGACACCTACATACAAACAACGTCTACACAAAGTAAAATCTCCTAGCATTCATTCAAATTCCTTATTTAATTTGTCAGCTCATAATTGTTTGTGCGCTCAGATATTCTCATATATTATATCACTATGAATTTAATCGGTTAAACTAGGCTCAGTAGTTTTTTGTTTGGTTTTTGTTGGAAAATGTTGAATGAAACTATTTTCCAAAAAGAAAAAACAAATAAAAAACTTACTGAGCATAGTTTGACAGATTAAATTTATAGTTTGAGACTCAAACTTTGAGTGATATACGTCTAGATTATTTCTCTAATTAAAGGAAACTATTTGACAATTCATAAAATCTGACGTATGTGTCAAAATTTATAAATATGTTTTTAAAGAAAATTCCAATAATTTAAGTAATAATTGATATTTCGTAAACTAGATAACTTATTTTTTATTGTTTTTTAAAAAATGTTAAAACTTGTAAATAACACCATAAAATCGTAAACAATCGCTTATTTAAACGAAATTTATTCGAAAATTCAAGGCTTTTGATTTGTTCATATTATAATGAGGGAAATAATCAACTAAATTTAATAAATAAACAAATTTAAATTTAATCTCTAAAAAGGTGAAAATAGCAGATCCGTTTAGTGTGTCTTAAATAAGGTTAACTTTTTACTTAATGTACTTAAAGGTATTGTGCAAAGTAATGTCTGCCTTTGATATTTTCATTTTTAATAAATAATTATGCCTTAACTTAATTTTATTTAGCACTTGGCAAAATTAATAATTTTCAAGTAATTTCTCACGCTACTCCTTTGTTATGTATTGAAATGCAAGTTTCTTTAGACAATTATTAAACTTGCCTTAAGCTCTTGTAATAAATTTCTAAATAACTTTTATAAGTGGGTAAAATGATGACAAGGTAAAATAATAATAATAATAATAATAATAATATATTGTCAAGTTTGATAAACGCCATTTTAGTAACGAATTTTAATTAGGCCGGAGTAAAAACAGTTTTTTTCCTTAAAAAAAACGAAAAATTGTGAAATTTTCAGAAAAATATTATACGATATCAATACTAAAAAAAGGTCAATTTTTCTGAAAGTTTCCAAATATCTGTACACTACTCTCTAAAAATGAATTAGTCAAAAATTACTAATTTAATAGTTATTGGTTAACCATGAAATATCATGATATCCCAAAATTTAACCGCCAATTCTTATGTAAAATTATCCCCTGAATCCGAAAATGTCAAAAAATTTAAAAAAGTAGAACAGTTTTTGAGATATAGTAAATTTTCCATTTAATATGGAATTTACCATATCTCAAAAACTGCTCCACTTTTATAATTTTGACGGTATTTTCGGATTTAGGAGACCATTTTACATAAGAATTGGCTGTAAAATTTTGGGATACCATAGTATTCCATGGTTAACCATGGTACAAGAGAAGAATGACTAATTCATTTTTAGAGAGCTGATATCAAGAAAAAAGTGAATTTTCGACTGATTATAATCATATAATACATGATTATAATAATTATTACTATTTTTCTACAGGGTCGTGAAAAAAAACTAATTCGGTGCTGTCTTACCATAACTATCGTTTTATTTGACACATCGATTTATAAAATTATAATTTTGTAATTTAACTTTAAAGTTAAATATAAATCATTTATTTTGTAATTAAATATTTTCAATGGACCTTTTGCAAAAAGGACCCAACCGATAGTATATTAAACTTTAACGTTTATTTTTTTTAATCAATTCCATTGAATTCAATGTTTGTTCTGTAATAATCCTTAAGAAATTTTTGTTTAAGTTGTTGATTGCTTTGTATATTTTTAGAAAAAAATATTTTTTTCCCAAAAACGACAAAAAAAACAGTTTTTTCCCAATTTTTCCGTTTTTTTTTCGACACTTTAAATTCCTAGGCTCGAGCGAGCTTTCGAGCGAGTGTTTAATTAAATGAGTGTCTAAACAAGTTTATAAACAAATTGCCTTCTATACTTTTTCCACGACAAAAACTTATTATTAACTAAAAATGATTTAAATTAAATATTTGTTTTGAGCAGCCTCTATAGAACAATAAAGTAGTTCCCAAGAATATTTCATACACAGTTTTTAAATATTGGCGTTGAGAAACTATTTAATACTTTTATATTGAGATAAAAAAATAATTTTTATATTTAGTATTATTTTACAAGAAGGGCACTTTAAAACTAACTTCAGCCCGTAAATAAAACGCCATAAAGCCACAACCTTTCAATGTGCATTTAAATAAAAGGTTACTTAGTATAACCGAAACATCTACGATATGGGTTGGGGCGTTTTTTATAATTCACCCTGTGTATAAAAAATTCCAATGCATTACACCACCAAGGGTATTGTTAAATTTAACCTTTTCCTTGAAAGCTCTAATCTTAAATTAAACAAAATTATAATAATATTTTTCATATTAACATTTTAATTAAGTAACGTATGCTCAAAGCGCCCCTTTATCACTATGTAAAGGGAATGGCTTCAACTTTGAAAGGACAAGATTGGAATACAAAACAAAATGACACACCATTGTCAGTTTTCCTTAATGATTCAGACCTCTGCACTCAGTGAAGACATCCTTCAAAGGGGACATTAAGCTCGCGTTCCGTTCCTACCCCTTACCCGCACAAGCCGTTCAGTTAGCTTCTGGGACTTCTAAGATAGTAAGGGTGAAATTAAAAGAGCCCTTTTTCCTATAATTGAATTTGTAGGTGCCTAATTTATTAAAAATAAACACATTCAGAAAAACTAAAATAATTATTATTATTATTATTATTATAATTAACATTAATATCCGAATATTGAAAGATAATGGGACTGTCCCATTTGATTCAATCGTGTGTAATACTGGTTACTTTTTGCTACCCTGTATTACATTTTCCAATGCAACTGCGATGGTCAAAAAAATTTACAGAGTTGATTTTGCAGCGACCAATTTCCAATTCAATTACAAATGAACTTCTATCAAAGGGCTACAAATAAAGCCTGTTCGATTGGAAAAATAATTCAATAGCATCAACTACCACTTTGTAAATTAATGGTGCAATTAAAATGTGTGAATAATTAAAAAATTTAATAATTATTTTTAACCGGAAAGGGAATTTTGAAGAATGTGATTAGTTGCAAAAATGGCGAATGCACCGGGATAAAAGAAGATTAAATATATAAATTAAGTTAATCGCCCGCAAAAAAATTACATCTGTTAAGTAATTAAAAATATTTAATTTCTACTGGCGTGCGCAAAGTAACACTTATCCGCACCCATTTGCGTGGGCAAAGTTGCACTTTTCCGCGCGCATTTGCATTTAAAATGTTGATTTTAGACAAAATCAAATTTAGTTACTTACTAGTGTCAAAGTGTCAAACACAGTAAAACGTCATAATATGTTATATTTTTTTCGCAAAATTGAAATGAACATTTTGGAAGAAGAGCTACCGTAAACACGGGTGGCTTTAGCTCACTTTCAAACTTAATCTTAACATTTTTGTGGTTTTAACAATCATAAACATTAAATATTGTATACCAAAATTTGAGTCTTGAGTTGCTCTTTCATAATAACTATGTTATAATCTTACATAGGGCCGAGTTTCAAAAATAAAAATTAAAAACTGGGTGTGCAAAGTTACCCCCTGGTTGCGGGTTACTTTGTCTCACAGTGTATTTTCTGTATAAAATTAACTAAATATTTTATTTTATTTTTATTAGACATATCTTATCAGCGACATATAGCAATTGCAAGGGATTACCGATAAAAATAATAAAAAATCGACCTGTAGTTAACCAAGGATCATCATTTCAAAGAATTGCGCATAATATAGAAATTAAAACGCGTGTATTTTTAAGAGTTTTGCACTAATGCAATATATACAACTTTAAAGTGTAATAAATCCCATTTATTTTTTTAAAACACTGATTTTCCTGTAATATAAACTTAATATAATCGCTCAATTGAAAGGTTTAGACCAACAAATTATAAATGTTAATTTTATCGAGCGCGACCCTTTTATAAAAGGGTTAGTCACCGGCGGGGTGCAGTCACCCGTGTTTACGGTACCATATGACATCCTGGAGGCAGCAAATACTGTAAATGAGAAGTTATTACGAAATTCTGTCAAAATATGAGAAACAATTTAAACATTTTGAAAACTGGTAAAAACGATTTTCAGTATCGTCCTTATGTTTATAAAATGACATTATATTGGTTTTACACAAAAAGTCACAACGGTACTTGGTATGGTATTTTCGCCAACATGTACGTTCTATAATATTTAATATTTTACGCCAACAAAGAGAAACTAATGAGATAAAAATTTAAATTTACCAATCCCTTGGCGTATACAGAAGCCGTACAATTAGCTTAACTAAATTTAATTGAACGATTCCCAACGCGTTAAAAGATAAAAGCGAAAAATCGCGTGCAATATTGCTCTCAATTTGATAAAGGCAGCGTACAATGAACATTCATATGCTTACATGTAAGCTAACAAACTAAGCACATGCCAATATGTTTCGGAACGCGATCATTAAAAGTTACTTTTACATGATAACCTTGTTACAAGTTTAAACTAAACATATGGCGCGCTGGTTTATTCCCTTGTCGAAAACGTTGATTATAATTTGTAAGCAAATGTAATTAAAAATCAATATGAAAATGTTCTTTCTGTCATTATGTTAAAACAATAAAAATTTAACAAATTTTAGTCTCCTCTCTTTCAGACGAAAATTTGTTAATGTTTTATTTGTTCTTATCCTACTGCACAATGTTGTATGTAAAAAGTCCTTAACTTTTCAGAACAAAAAACGTTACAGTAGTAAAAAAAAACAAGAAAAAAATCTATGTTTGTGGATCGACTTTACAAGAGGAAACACTTTTTATTATTAATTTTTCGAGAAAAAGGCATTCCACATTAAAGTTTTTGCTTGCTTTGAAATGGCTTATTCAGATTATTCCTTTTAAAATTTCCCGTCTATTTCAGAGATATATTGAAAAATATAAAAACAAAGTGGATCTAGAATCTCACTTCAACCGTTAAAAATTTAAAAATAAAAATAAGAGCAGCAGAAGAATCATTTTCTACTGAAGAGGTTCTTAAAAGTTATGTGGAACGAGCCGAATAAAATAAAAATAGGTTTTTGTTTACAATTAATTAATTAAATTGTTGTTATTCTTGCTTATTTGATTGATTACACAGTACGACAGAATTTAATTCGTTAACAGCTAGACAGTATTTTCTTATCAAAAATTTATTCAGTGAATAAATGGATTAGGTATTTATTTTAAAATTATTTTAATTATATACAGGGTGTTGCACATTAACGAAATACGGGTTTCAAGTTCGTGGTCCATTGAGAGTTTCTGAGGAACGGCAAAAGATATCGATTTGAAATTTTTAAAGCTTTTATAATCCAATTAAGCCTATTTTTCTAAAATATTTTAAACAAAATGAGACTTTCGGCTTGACCGGAAGTGACATCAACTTTGTTATTTTAAACGCAACACCCTATATATTTTTACATTTTTAAATTCTAAATAAAATTTTGAGTAAAATTTTTTCCGTTAAAATATGACAAATGCGCGTCAATCAAAAATAGCCTATAACTTTCTTGATATTAAGTTTGCAGAAATGGGGATGGAATTTTTGGAATCTTAAAACATTGTTTAAAAGATTCCATGTCAATTTCTTAACATACCGGGTGTAACATTTAAAATAAAAAAGTTATTAACGTTTCAAGTTAGCCCAATTTGCCCTGGGGTTTCTCGGGTAATTTGTTGAAAAATGTTAAAGAATTGACATGGAATTTTTTAAACAATGTTTTAAGATGCCAAACATTTTACCCCCATATCCGTAAACCCAATAGCAAACATCTAGAAAACTATTCACTTTAGGTATATGACATGGTATAGTAATTTTATGTGGAATTTAAAAATGTAAAAATATATGGGGTGTTCTATTTGATATAACAAAGTTCATGTCACTTCCGGTCAAACAGGAAGTTGAATTTTATTCAAAATATAAAAAAATAGACCAAATGTCGTATAAACTCTTTTAAATTTCAAATCTATATTTTTCCGTTCTCCAGAAACTTCCAATGGACCACGAATGTGAAACACCCTGTATATCAAGTGGTGTTTTTAGGTTGTGATACCACTATATATTCGAAAGCAATGTATGATCGTCAAACTAAAAGATCAAGATTTGTTTCCAACATATATTTAATATAAGATAAATACAAATCTGTTGTTTTATTAAAAAAAAATACAAAAATTAAAACCGGAAATATTATTTTTTCTTAAAAAAAAATAAAACTGTTATTTACTTTAAGTATAATTTTTGTATTGTGAAAAAACATCAAAATTTGAAGAAAAAAAATGATTTATAACAAAATAGATAATTAAAAATCTGTTTATGTTAAAATAATAAGAATGGCCGTTAGGGTGGGCCGAAAATCCGCTTTTTTAGAATTTCGTTTAGTAATAGCAAAAATTTTGTTCATTATGTTGTAAAAAAATTTTGTGTAAAAGATTAAAATTTTCGATCAACATCCTAGGCTCGCCCAACGCAATTAAAGATCAAAATGTTCAAAAAAAATTTTTCTTAATTTATTTCGATCGGAAATTTTATGCTCTACACAAAATGATTTCAGATGGATAGTTTCAGAAATTTGTTCATTATGTTGTAAAAAAAATTTGTGTAAAAGATTAAAATTTTCGATCCTCATCCTAGGCTCGCCCAGCGCAATTAAAGATCAAAATGTTCAAAAAAAAAATTTCCTAACTTAATTCGATCGGAAATTTTATGCTCTACAAAAAAGGTCCTTACACTAAATTACTTCAGATGGATAGTTTTAGAAATAAACCCGATTTTAGTATCAAAATTTTTTTGAACATTTTGATCTTTAATTGCGTTGGGCGAGCCTAGGATGTTGATCGAAAATTTTAATCTTTTACACAAAATTTTTTTACAACATAATGAACAAAATTTTTGCTATTACTAAACGAAATTCTAAAAAAGCGGATTTTCGGCCCACCCTAATGGCCGTGTAAAAAAATAAATGACGTGATTTCGTAAAACGGTGAGACACGTGTACGTTTTTTAACTTTTGTTTTTAAAATCTCTTAAAATATTTATTGGCTATACTTTAAACAGCATAAAATTTTGCATATTGGTTATAATATTTTTATATTTTTTCTTACGAGCCTTTTCTGGCAATAAATTTTGTTTAACACCAAAGAAAACCGTTTTTTCTTCTTTAACATTAACAGCAGCTTATTGTAAATAAGTAAATTAAGGACGGCATGGCGAATCGATTTTGACATTAACTGTCAAACCAATGACTGTGATACCAACTATCTAAAGTAAAATTCGACCAAATTAAATTTAAGGAATAAAATTAATTTTTTGTATAAAATTTTGCAAAATAGATAAAATAGCATAAAGAACTCATGTCATAAGACCTTTTGTCGCACTCGTCCATTACGTCCATAAATTGTCCGCCTGCGACAAAATGACGTCTTATAACATTAGTTCTTTAATATAATTTTATCTTGTGGCCCTAACATACATAACATAAAATAAAATGTATGAAATGATTTTAATATATTTAATAATATCAGTATACTCCTTAACAACGCTCTTATGAAACCCTATTTGCAAGTCTAAACTAAATCGCCTGCTGGCATTTCTTAATTTATTCTCCCACATATATTAAACGTATCCCACAGCTTTCCTGAATACAAAAGTTTGCGAACTATTAATTTTAACTGGCTTTATAAATAATTTACAGAAAATTTGCAATATTTGCGCATGGGGGACAACAATATCCACACTATACCCACTGAAGCCCTAAAAAGACTGCACAGACTGCGCCATCTGGATTTAAGGGCCAACAACATCACCTACATATCAGAGGATGCATTCGCTGGATTCGGAGACTCAATCACGTTCCTTAATTTGCAGAAAAATGAGTAAGCACATATTTTATTGTTTCGATCTTTACACTGTTTAAAATATCTGTGGTGTAAAAAGTAATCTTAAAATGGTGTCAAAATCCAACACCAAGTGGTGTTAATATAACACCATGAATTATGGTTGAAAATGTTTTATACAGCAAACACCAAAACGGTGTTTATCTAAGAAAACTTTAGTGAAACCAACCCGCTGTATGGATCAGTTTAATAAATATGTTGTTTGTAAAATAAGACTTACTTCAACCTAAAGCACTCTGTTAAAACGATTAAAACAATTTGCCGTGCATTCCTGGTTACATAGTTTGTACCGATCGCGGTTAAGGCGGTGTGTATCACGTGATGTTCTTAAATCTCGCCTTTGTTGACTTACATGAAGAGTATATAAGCTCAGGTAGTCCTTTGCTTTGGTGTGACACTACAAGTTGTTCAATACTAAAGAGACCTTAAATAGGTGGAAATAGCTGTCAATACTTGAAGTATTTTATGTTGGTGGAACGCACTAAAAACATTATCTCTAGCGAGTTGAAGGTTCAATTTTCTGGAATAATATCACTGGTAATATACTTGTAATGCGTTAAGGAACTTCCTGTTTCCTTTTTTTCTTTGTAGTATAATTTAATTTGATCAGTGAAAGTTAAATTTACACCATTTTAGTATTTGAATTTACACCGGACCAACGAACCTTATTTAACACAATTTTGGTTTGTATCGATATAGACCATGTATGGTGTTAATTTGGTGTTAAAATGGTCATGAAATTTTGAACAGAGTACTTGATAAAACTCCATGTCACTGGATGTATAACTGAATAAAAAACAAACAGTTATCCAGTTATATTAAAATGTTTTAACTAATTAAAGAGATCATTTTAATTAACTACAAAAACATTTTTTGCAGCATTCGCACGTTGTCAGGCATGATATTCGAGAATTTGAACTCCCTGGAAACGTTAAACTTGCAGAATAACAAATTAATGCACATCACTGAGGACGTAATGGAACCAATACTGGATACGCTACGCGTCGTTGATATAATGGGTAAGTAAACAGAGCCTCGTTCCGTTTTCAATAAAATTGTGTCCGTTTGAGCAAATATCTTCTCCATATCTCTAGTAGTTTAAGAGGTATTGTCTTGAGTACACAGGAGTAATATTGGATGGAAGTTGAGTAAATTTAATATTAAGATGGAGTTTTTTTTTTAACTATAAAAGGAGCTTGGTATAATTTGATTGGGATGTGTAGAAGTGTTCTTTCTCTAATTTAACAGCTAATACTTGACCATGGTTTATAACTCGTCCAAAATAATTAAACCAAACAGTTTAAAACACAATAAGTAATATTAATTACAAATTAATTTTGCAAATGACACTTTAATGATTCTATATCAAAAACTTGATAAACATCTTAACGAAACGCAATAATAACTATTGATTATACAATTTGCTGCTATAAATACCAAAAGAACTTTATATCATACCTCAGCCAACAAAGGAAGGATAATTGGAATTTCCTTCATTCATACACTCTCATTTGATATAATCGTTACTTTATTTAAATTTTCAAAGATCTCATTTGCTCATTTAATTTTCCTTATGTTTGCAACACTGCACCATTGCAATTTCTCATGGACATTTCTTTAATGTTGGTCTATTATGCAGCAAAATACCATTTACATGAAAATTTGCATTGTTTGAATTTTCTCATGTACGTAGTAATAGTATGTGTAATATCCAGGAAAAATTAAACAAGAATGTTTGGAGTTTTTCTCTATTTATAATATTTTTATACAGGGTTTTTACAAATGGTGTTAGCACTTTAATTACAGAACGGTCAATACAATGTTTACATATTCCAAACCTATATTCCTTTATCTAAAATATTTTATACATCCTTATCCGCATCATGTACTTTGTCTTCCGTCCTTTGCTTCACTGGGCGATGGTTTCGAACTTTGCGCTTTAAGCTCCGAATTATTTGCAATAATTAACCAAACAAACCAAACAAACCAAACATATATTAAAGTGTTAAATGTTATTGTAAAATTTTGTTATTACAGAGAAAGTAGTAAGTGTAGATACAAAATGGGACCTAATAAGAATATTGGAAAACCATATCGTATGTTTTCATGTACTCGTAAATACGTATAGGCTAAAACCAGAAGTAACAAAAATATGGGTGAATATTTTAAAACTGTCGATTTTCGGAACCATTAGTTAACCCCCAAAAAAATTGCAAAACGTAATTTTTTTTGTCTTTTTTAGAAAGTTGAACCCAGGGTTTTACTTGGTCATCTCTTATTCTTCTGCGTCTCTCACGTTCTGCTTGTCTTTTAGCTTCGTTGGTCAACTTGTTTCGTGGTTTTGTCATTTTAATTTATTTCCCACTGAAATGAAAAATTTTAAATTGGTTACATTTAAGGGACACGACAATGACGAGCACGGTAATGATGATTTTAAGGTTAGAGTGTTTTACAATGTTTATTCGAAAATGTAATGGAATTTTCAAGTTACCCTTTGCTCCTTTGTATTAATGTTAATATTTTTTATGTTCATAAACTTTAAAATAATACTTTCCCTGACAATGACGGACTTAGACGTAACAAGCCGTTTTCGTTTTCATTCGGCGCACGTCACAACTTTATGGTTTGACATATGCTAGTGGACGTTAGATAGGCAGGATATTTACATATCAGACGAAAACTTCCGGCATTTTCCAAATGTATCGCGTATTTAAATATGAAATTAGACACATTTTAAGTAAGCACGGTAAGCATGGGTGTGAACAAAGTTTAAACGACATTAAAAGAAAAGTTAACATTTTAGAATGTAATTTCTTGCTTGCATTGTATTATTTTGAATTTTCTTCGTCTGTGTTAGACAGTATATTGCAACATTTAATTTGTAAATAAATGTAAGAAAATAATATGTTGTTGTTCTTCGAATGTGAACAAGGCACGGTAATGACGTTTGCGACACAAAAATTAAAATATATTTTTTACTATGCTTGACTAAAATAAGTTAGGAATCAAGTAAAAATAGTTAATTAAACTAGACATCAAGTATTTTATTTTCAGTGGGATATTAACTTTTAAAATAACAAGCCAGAACCGATTAAATTACACTTTTGAAATATTCATCCATATGTTAAATATGTCAAAAAGTTATTATCACAAAATATTAGTCCTATATGGGGCGCGTCTATGCTCAATATTTTATCTAGGGCCAATTATGGATTTATATAGCCGATGTTAGCCCTACATTGGCAGAAAATGATAATTTAATATATCTTGCCAATGTTTATCCAAGGTTGGTCCTATATTGGCTTTCGGATTTCTAAAAGTGATATGTAACGACACACGTTTGTTTCCAAGATGTGTCTATACCAGTAGCGAAGGAACGGTTTTAAGTTGGGGGGTGGCTCAACCGACTACCATTCTTATTGTTTAGCACCAAATGGGTCAAAATAATAAAGGCAATTCTTGCATATTACCATAAGAATAACAAGGGTAATATGTGATTTCTTGTCTTATTAGCAATAAAATTCGTTATTACATTAATAAAGCTCAAGCTGATCATTTTAACACACGATACAAACGATGTTAGCATTTCATCGTAATTAAGAATAACATAGACAGTACACGACTTGTCTTATTGGTAGATTTTTTCAAATAATTTGGAGGGTACATTTTATATCAAGTAACTCTCCCCCTTATTAGTTGGGAGGACATTTCCTGAAAACAAACGTTTGTCGTCACGATCGTGACATATATTTTAGAAATCCTACTTAGTAAGTACTAGGTGGATATCTTTTTTTTCTCAATTTCTCCATAAACTTTTCTAGAATATGATGTAAAACAACTTCCCTGATAGCACAGTTTATTCAAAGAATGTTTTTTAAACCTTCCAGTGAGAATATTCTTAGGATCATGCTATATTTCTTCTAGTCATGTTCTAAGAATGTTTTTTAAACCTTCCAGTGAGAATATTCTTAGGATCATGCTATATTTCTTCTAAGGAGCATGCTTAAAAGAAATATAGAATAATCCTAAGAATATTCTCACTGGCCTATAGGCAGGTTCTTAGAAGGTGCAAAGTTGAGTGGTAAAAATTAATCCACTCTAAACACATGCTTAGAATGTTGAGAAAGTAATTGCTATAGAAAGTTCATTAAGGAATATTCCTGAAACATTCTGTTAAGCATATTCAGTTCAGTTAGGTACCTATATAATAGTAAAATATGCCATAATCTACGTATAAAGGTACCTATACTTAGTTTTAAATACTAAGTAAAAAACACAACCCAAAATATTTTTTTATAGTTATTTGTCAAATTAAAACAATATTCGATAACAAAAATACTTTTACTATAGGTATCTAAATTTTACATAAAATCTTCTATCCAACTTAAATACAATGAAAAATGTTTTTTTTTTTTATGAAGAACTAGGTATTTGGTTTTTTCTTTTATAAAGAATTTTGTTATAAGGAAATGTTTTGTTTTTTTATATTTTATTTTATGTTAAAAATATTTATTAATTTGTATACCGATTTTTTTATATCTCAATTAACATTTTTATGTATAATAATCCTAACTATCTTCAACTTCAATCTAATCTGACTTATCCCACAAAATTTTCCAATTTTACTTTTTATGAAATAATGTATACAACTTATGGTTTAGAGATCAAATTGTTTATTTAATATTTTTAAATAAGTATATATTAATATGTCGCAAAATTTTTTAAGGGGACGACAAATACATTTCACTGTCATATTATGACAGTGAGGCCTATTTGTCGCCTCCTGAAGAATTTTACGAATGTAGAATACAACATATTAGAACGTGGGTATTCCAAAAAAATATTCTTAAAATGTTCTTAGACTGCTTTTTAGGAAGGTTTTAAGAAGCTTCTAAGAATCTAATTGCATCATTAAAAGGGTATCTATTGAATGATTTAAAAGTCCCTAAGAACATTCTTAGCAATAAGGGAAGATTTTAAGAATATTCCATTATTCCGGGTCATATCTTCTAAGAAGATTCTTAGAATCAAATTTTGCTATCAGGGTTCGGGCCAATGCTGATTTCCAATATCGGTTATATAATGTCAAACAACTTCGGGCCAATGTTGGGTTTCAAGCTAGAAAAAATCTTACGAAAGATATATTGGCCCAATATTATTACGAATATTGGGCCAATATCTTTGTGCTACTGGGGTTGTATGATGTCCATCCTTCTTCTCTTAAAGCTAACCCACATATCAATGCACAGTGTGTGAAATTAATTATCTAGCTAGACAAAACCTAATTGACATAAAAAATTATAAAGTTTCTCTGTAAACGGGGAATTTGCGTTCACTGAATCCAAATCTGATATCCAAAATGCAGAAATTAAATTCGTTCATTACAAAATGGCCGGCGCCTTGCAATAAAAAATAAACTTTCGGTTTCGTCGGAAATTGGTCAACTTTCGTTTTTCCAAAGAAACACCCTGTATATTTTTGTATATTTGAAATCTGGAGAAAATTTTGAATCCAAAAGATTCCACATTCCCTACCATTTTGCAATTGACCTTAAATGTTTGTCCAGTTTTATTTTTTAATCCAGAAAGCTGCAATTTGGAGAATAAATTAGTTTTACCACCCAAATTTGCAATTAAATGCATAAATAGTAAATGTTGCTGATCAATTGTTTTTTTAATTAACTCAACTTTTTTAAATACCATACAAATGTTTTTAAAAATCGATATGTTTTCCCCAATCAAAACCCACAAATGTCATAAAAAGTTGTTTAGTGTTTTCCACTAAAATTACACTTATGGAAAACTTAAATTACAACAAAAATTAAGATCATTTTAAAAATCCCGCGATAGTGTAAGTATTGAATTCAAAATTTTCTCCTGATTTGAAATATATAAAAATATGCAGAGTATTTCATTGAGAAAACGAAAGTTGTCATTATTTCCGGGGAACCGGATACCGGGTGGTATCCATTGAAGGTTGAAATAATTATAAATTAACTCTTTATTATTACTACCAAATTTCAACTCTATTCAAAAATTTACTAGTGGCGAAGGAGTGCGTCGGTTTTTGGTTACACCCTGTAGAACAGGCAAATTGGGGCAATAAATAAAGGACATCAGCAATATGTAGTCGGTATAAAACAAAAAAATATTGATAGTGCACCCGATATTGCTCGATTACAATACTTCTTGCTTAAAAAATATTGTCCATATTTAATAACACCAAGTGAATTTCTATATCTATAGCCTGTTGCTGATTATTAATATTATAAATCCGTAATAATAAAAAATAAGTAATATATACCTAGATCCATAGCTGCACAGTTCAAAATTTGATTTAACTTGACACAATGTCAAAATGAAACCACCTTTTTGCAACGCATACACGGCTAAGTATGTTTATAAAAAACTGGCGCCTGCATAGTGCTAAATACACTGTTGCATTACTTAGTACTACTTAGTAAGTAATGGAAATCATAACAGGGAGAACTGAAGAAGCTTATTTAATAAAATTTGTCTTTATTTCAGGTTGTTTTTAAATTACGTTTTGTCTAGCTAGATAATTAATTTAACACACTGTGCAATGGCCTCCTTCTAAACTCTTATTTTTTTTTTAGATAACCCCCTACTGTGCGACTGCGATCTGCAATGGTACAAGAACTGGTTGTCGGGTTTGAAGGACAAGGATGACGAGATGATGCAAAAGAAGCGCACGGTGTGCATGATGCAGCAGGAGCACAGAGAGTACAACTTGCAGAGCTTGCCGTTGGAGAAGATGAGCTGCGTGATCAAGTCGCCGAATTTGATTCCGAACGCCGCGACGGCCTTGACGGCCAGGTTCATGGCCGCCTTTTCCGTGTGCTTTTGGGCAGTGATATACATTTAACACTAGATAAATTTAGTTGTTTGTAATTATTGCAGTATAACACTTTAGAGGAAGTTCGTAGGATTAGTTTTAATGGATATTTTATATTTAAAACGAGTTCTAGAGTTCTAGTGTAGTTGGTTCTATTAAGTTTTCGCGTCTTAGGCATGTAACTTGCTGGTAGTTCTAGTTACGGTTCGAAATAGCTTCTTTGCTTCGTAATTATATTGTCATTGAAACATTCCAGTTTTAGATGCGGTTGAAGTGGGCGCGGTGGCGGGTTTTTAATGGATTTTTTCGCGTTACCATCAGCGAATAATTGTGTCTCTTTCCCAATAAAAACCAACATCGCGTTTATCTAAGCCCTTCTATGCATATCAATTTTAGTGAGAAATAATATGGTCAGATCCACCAACAATGGTTTCTTAATGTGTCCCTTATATTTCTAAATGTCTTTCTCTATCTATCTCTTGATGTTATTCAAACATATAACCGTAGATGTAATTTTGTAGGTGTTTAAGAGTTTCGAAAATTTAATGATGAATCTTTAATTTTATTGTTGAGAATCGCACACCAAATTAAGACATTTAAGTAAGAGTTATATAGGGACGAAGGCCTATACATATCAAGGTGGATTTATAAAAATATCACATATCAAATGTGCCGCATTAAGCCTTGCTGGGCAAACGGCTTGCTCCAGGGATTTACGATTTTGTGAGACAGGGGGACAATCGCATTGTTCTCTTCAAAATACCAAAACCCTCAGACGAAAACCCGTTTCTCACCAAGGAGTTGCATGCTAATTGTAAAGTAAAATATAATTAACATATTAATCCCTATCTTGTGAGCTTTCACCACATATCATTAACTATTAATGTATTATCGTAAGAATTAAATATTATTATACTTATTTATAGGGAAATTTTGTCAATGAAGCACTATTGAGTGTTCAGCTAAATATTGAACAGATTGATCTATCTTCATGCAATTCTTTATCGTGGAAAATTGCTATACACGTACCTAAATATAATTAGAGAGAATTTAGTTTAGTCAATTTGGTAAAAATCATCCCAAATGAAAACCTGAATGCATGAAGAGTTGAATTAAATTTTAAAAATCTAAATTTTGTGATAAGCTGTAACATTGAAAATTGAATATAGAATATTGGTTATATTGGTTATATAAGCAATATTGTTCACAAGGGCTGTACAGTCTAGTAACATAAACATATCAGCATTCTTGATGCGTAGAATTTGTATAAAGGAAGCCACGTTTGGGGCGCACGTTTGACAAAAAAACTGCGCCAGACCATTTCAAGACATATCCGGTTCGGGTCGAACGTAGCTTCGCGTTTCTATGCAAAAATAAATAAAAAAGCAAGAAAAAAATCATGCAATATTTTTCTAAGATTATAGTGTCAGGTCGTTGTCGCATAGAAACGCGAAGGATCGGCCTAACCCTCCCATTTTTTACGATTTACCAAATATATATGTATATGTATTACCTACTCTTATATGCACCATACTCATTAATATGATGATACTCTCTGTATTCATTATTATTAATTAAAACAAAATGGTTGTTGTGTAATGTGTCATAATATATTCAAGTTATTATATTTAATGTTTCCAGAAATGTCATATTCTATATATATGTGAAATAAAAAAAGTACGCTGACACCAACCGATAGTTTCATTTATAAACCTATCAACACCAAAATAAAAGTAATGTGAGTTGCCTACCATCGCTTTTCTCATCTTTAAAGGGTTACCTACCCACTGGGAAAAATAATATTTCTACAATGTTACTGAACGTTACATTTGTTAGCTGTAATGTTACAAAACTCCTTGTGGCAATGTTGCAGGAACATTGCAACAAAGCCTTATGTCCAGCTCAGGAACATTACATTTACAAATAAAATGTTACTTAAATGTATTAATTGCAATGTTACTAAATATTATTTTTGTTAATGTAAGGTTCCTGCAACATTACATTTGTTAGTGTAATGTTACAAAAATCCTTGTGGCAATGTTGCAGGAACATTGCAACAAAGCCTTATGGTTCAGGAACATTACATTTACAAATAAAATGTTGCTTAAATGTATTAATTTCAATGTTACTAAATGTTATTTTTGTTAATGAAAGGTTCCTGCAACGGTGACGGGAGACACGCATCAAGCTCGGCACTGTTCACTTTTAAAGATATAAATGACCAAAACAGCGGCGAGATGCATCGGCAAGTCAGTCTGCAAACAACATTGCAAAAATTATCTTAATGCAATATTTCGGATAAAACATAGTCCAAAACTAAAGTTATAATTATAAATGTAATATTATAGTTACAATCTTGCAAATTAAATGTTTATATAACGCAACATTTCAAAAATCATCTTAATCTAATATTTAAGATGAAACATTGCCCAAAACTTATCAATGTAATTTTATAATTGCAATGTTTCAAAAATCTTGCAAATTAAATGTTTATATTGTTTATATAAACAACATTGCAAAAGTCATCTTATTTCGGATGAAACATTGCCCAAAACTTATCAATGTAATATTATAATTGCAATGTTTCAAAAATCTTGCAAATTAAATGTTTATATTGTTTAACATTGCAAAAATCATATTAATGTATTATTTCGGATGAAACATTACCAATATAATATTATAATTGCAATGTTCCAAAAATCTTGCAAATTAAATGTTTATATTGTTTATATTGCAAAAATCATATTAATGTATTATTTCGGATGAAACATTGCCAAAAACTTATCAATATAATATTATAATTGCAATGTTCCAAAAATCTTGCAAATTAAATGTTTATATTGTTTATATAAAGTAACATTGCAAAAATCATCTTAATGTAATATTTCGGATGAAACATTGCCCAAAACTTATCAATGTAATATTATAATTGCAATGTTTCAAAAATATTCCCAAACATTCCAAAATAAATGTTTCTATTGTATATTTAAAGTAAAATTGCAAACATTTTTCATTTGAAACTTGTGTTAATATTTCAATTGAAACATTAAAAAAAAGTTATGTCTGCCATATTATAATTCTAATGTTTAAAAACTTTTATGCAACATTTTATAGTAAATGTTACAAATATAACATTGTAAAAACTTTCCATGTGAATCTTTAAATAATGTTTCAAATTTAAGGTTGTGGGAAATTATTATATGCAATATTTCAAATGAAACATTTCATTTATGTTAATGCAAGTAGCACAGGAAATATTTTATTTGTAAAGTCGGCAAACATTGCAGCAATATTTTGTAAGGTTTCTTTCCCAGTGGGTAGTTTTACTTATAAAAGAACGTTTTTTCTTAAAAATGACTATGTTAATTTAAATGGTTTATTGGTAGGTTTAATAGACGTGTCAAGATTTACGAATGAAGTATTTGGAAAATTAAAAATTCCGAACACAATCAAATTCTTTGAGGGTTAATAAAATTATTTTTAAAATTCGCACCTTAAATTTATTGTAACTTTTATTTAGTTAATTCTAATGTTACTCTCATCAATAAAGTTTCTCTTATTTTTAAGTTTTAATATCTTAGCGATGACAGTGAAGTGTGACAAAAGAGACATGTGACGAAGGAGACATTTTTCACATTAAAAAATCTATTTTCCAAGTGACACAATAAATGCACATAAAACATTGCATTTATTAAAAAGAAAGAAATTGGTTTACTTTACATAAAAAAGAAAATTAAATACTGCAAATACTTACCGAGAAAATTTGACGAAATATAACCTTTAAAAACACAGGCTGCTTGTTTGTAACGCGCAAAATAACAATAGCGATACCATTGCCTCCAGCAGCGCCATCTTATGCCACAGTAAAAAAATTATTCAAATACATTTTATTACATATTTTATGAATACTTATTTGTTAATTTATTTTAGTTTTAGAATTTTTTATTTTTACTATTGCAATATAATAATAATAATAACAATAATAATAATAATAATAATAATATTAATAATAATAATAATGTTTATTAACAACAAAATTACCAGAATATTAATAGATACAGTAATATAAAAAAATTTTTAACCTTAATTAAGACATATTTTTATATTTAATTGAAAAATTTTCTATTAATTTTTTGTTATTTTAAGTTTTTATTTATAAATCTAGTTTTATATTAGCTGTCTTGATTTATTATGTTTTTAATAAGAAATGTTAGGGACAACTGACCTCGATTTTCAAACGATTTAAATAATTTGAAGAATATTGAACTTAACCTAGAAACCACAGTCTTATTATAATATATAATATAAGACCCAGCTAGAAACATATGTTAAAATTCGTAATTCTTGACACATCGTGACGTCATACGCTTCAAGATCATCAAAGCGTTTTGAAATAGTACAGTACCCAGCTAAGTACAGACCCAGCTAGAAACATATGTTAAAATTCGTAATTCTTGACACATCGTGACGTCATACGCTTCAAGATCATCAAAGCGTTTTGAAATAGTACAGTAGGTACAAAAATTACACTTGTTTACATATGCATTTTGTAAAACGCAAATCTTAAAACGCTTCGATGACTTTGAACAGATGTGTCAAGAATCTTAATCTTCTTAGTGATTTTGTTCACGAGTTCATAATTCATAACTAAAATATGGAGAAAGTAAAGAAGTTTACTTTGTTGTTTAAGATTTTGAAAAAGCCAAAAAATATTTACACAAATAAAGCTTTTTTCTTAGTATTTTATGAACAAAGGTAATTTTTATGAATAATTATTCCATATGTCGAGTTAATTTGAGTAATTCACATAAATATCTAAAGCTTTAAATTAACATTTCCAATTATTCTAAGTTTGTAATCTTTATATAAATAGACAAAAATTATAATATTCTATATGGACTTATCTATTGATAATAAATTTTCGATAATGGTATTTAATTAAATATGCCAATGCTTGCAAAATACATCATTACCTACAGTAAAATCAAATGGCAAAAGCAGCAAAAAAAAGTAAACCTAAAAAAATACCATCGTTTTTCAAGTAAGGTGAATTACAAAATTTAACGTGATTTTACTAAAATTTTGTGTAATATTTTAGATTTCAAAAAATTCTTAAGCCATGGATTAAAAAGTACGACAAATACTTTGCCGGTTGTTTGGCAATAATAGTAACCACATTTATATTCATGATTGTTTTAATCCTTAAAGAAAAAAATTTCGAGAAACCTGAAACACATGTAGAAGACCCCAAAAATAAAAATAACTTAATGTTATTTAATCAACCAGAAAAAGCTATATGCAAAACTTCGAGTTGCGAAGTAAGTTGTGAAAATTCCAGAAGCTTTACTGAGTTTCTGAGTAGTCTGATTACCTTAAAAACCGTAAGTACCTATGAGGATAATATCTTTTAATAAAACATGGTGTGTTTCTTAAAATTTTCGTATTAACTTTCTATATAGAGTGTTGTGGAAAATCCCGTGCTCTGATTGGTTTAATGCTTTCTATAGATATAATTTCTAAAGTAAAGACGCAATTTTCATGAAACACCCCCCGTAGTATTGCTAGTGTGTTGTGAATTGATATATGTGAAGTGTTTACAAACAGTAGGAAACATAAATTATCTTATAAAATCTTGTTCTATTACAGAATATTTTTTAGGACTGCCCCAACATATTAGTTACTTTAAAGTTAGTAAATATAAACTTTGAAGATAATGTTAAAAAAGGTTGGTTAAAAGATATAACACCTCCAGTTAAATCATTATCGATAAACTCTGAATTATTAAACGACATAAAACCAAAAGCCTTCAGTGGACATCCCTTTTCCAAGTTATCAACACTAGAAATACTAAATTCAAATATATTGTATCTTAGAAGGGACATGTTTATTGGTTCAGCCATAGTGGATTTCTCATTCGCCTTAAATTATAAAGGTAGCCGTATTAATGTGGAAAAAAATGTTTTCGGAGCTATAGCCGACACTTTGGCAAACCTACGCTTTACAAAAAGCATATACGATGCCAAAGTTCTTCATAATATAACTGGGAAAAACGTGGATGAAACTCTATTGTCACTGGAGATCTTTGACCTTTCCGACAATTCATTGACTGGCATTGAGGAGTATTCATTTAATAAAACTGTTTTGCTGACATCATTATATATACGAGATAATGGTCTAAAGAGTATTGATCGTTTAGCATTTCGTGGTTTAGATAAATTAAAGCTCCTGTCAATGACTTCCAATGATATATCGGTTTTATATGAAGGTGTTTTTCAACATTTTAACAAAGATGCTAAAATATACATTGACGAAAACAAGTTTGATTGTAACTGTAATATGGTTTGGTTTAGAGATTATTTTACGCAGCATGTAAATGACTACTTTGCTGAAACAAAGTTTAAATGTTTTTATCAAGAGAATGAAGATTATAAAAACGTACATTTTTGTGATGACCCATTTGAACCAGTAACAACTACAACAAAGAAGGAAATTATTTCTACGACAAGCATTTCTATCCCTATAACTTCACCAACACCTACAAAAAACCTAAAAGAAATCGAATGTAAACAAGCAGTTTCATCTTCATCCGTGGAATTTGATTCTAAAGAATTTTCTCATCAGGACTTTATCACCGATGGTATTCTTACTTTTAAGCGTCTACACTATAAAGAAGACTTTTTCTATGAAATAGTATTGGATGAAATAAAACATGAGAATTATCACCTTATAGTTTCAAATGAGGGTTCCTTAAATTGCCTTACAGACTTAAAGAGCGATATAATCTTGCAAAATTTAAGCTACGGAACACCATATACTTTTTGTTTTTTGAAGAAAGAAGAAACTAAAACTAAAATAGATGATTGCGTATCATTCAAAACTCAGCTACAATGGAAGGATCAAGCGTTTCTGAAGAACAAACACAAAGCTGCAGTTATAACATCAGCAGTATGTAGCATGATATTTACCATTGCTTTAACATGCACATCTGTATTTTATATTGTCAGGCAAAATCCCAAGTTGATTAAAGCTAACAAGAGGGTTATAATGGTTGAAAAATCCAAGTTCGATGCCCTACTAATGCCTAAAGAGGTTAGAAGTAGTAATATTACTGAGCTAACAAGGATGAAAAGAAACCATAGAAATGTCACACCGCCTTTGCCACCAAACCACCCTTGTAGAGAATAAATAAAATATTTTAAAGTTTTCGTGTTTTTTTAATACAAATACCTAGAAATATAAAACTGCTAAATATTTAGCATAAATTACTTAAAATTTGAATAAAAACTAAAACTGATTTTTCTTTTAGAGTAAACTAAGTGAAAATTTCAAAATAAACATAGCACAAAAAGAATTTCAATTCGAATTTAAACAAAATGATTATGAAGTATATGTGGAACTGGAAAAACCGTGTATGGATTTCTACGTGTATTTCAAGAACCTTCAAGAAATACAATGTTACGATACCAAATTTATATCTTTAAGAATACTAAAATATGGTACAACATACACCACATGCCTGTTGAACAATGAAAACAAAACAGATATAGCAGTGGAGCAATGTGTGGCAGTAACCACAAAAGAAGATATTTCAGAACAAACATGGTTAACTTTGCACTACAAAATATGTTTTGTTTTGAGTATAGTGATTGGTCATTTATTTTCAATAATTATTGCCATGTTCATAACGTATTATGTCATAAGAAGAAACCCTGAGCTAATAAAGGGAAATAAAAAGGTTATAGTTGTTAAAAGTAGAAAGGAAGAACGAAAAGAAGATGAAGATTCCAATAGTTATATTACACCTTTAGCTACATCTATAATTTCTTATAATAAACAAGATAATAATGAATATTATCCAGGAGTTTCCATAGTTTCTTCAAGATTAAACAGTGAACTTAATATAAATGAGGAATCAGTATATGAAAATGATTCTGAATATATTTGATCATATAAGTTCTTTTATATGAAGTTATGTGATATTTAGGTTGTAATAAATAAAATTGCCAATATATTATTATCTATATTTTTTGTAATTTACAATTTTTTATAAAAAGTATTGTATTTAGTCCTGATTAAATAAATGGTATCGTATCTTTTGATCAATTTTTGCACATGTGGTTATAGATTACCTGTTAATAAAACATTTTTTAGTTTAATTATCTGCGTCCATTAAATTCGCACGGTAGCATAAATATTAAAAATGGTAGGACAATTTCGCACAGTGAGATAATTTTAAAAAATTGCATGAAATTTTTGCAAATAGTGGGAAAAATTAGCACACAAAATTCTTCAATTTTTTTTTTTTAATTTTCACTGTGTGGTTTCCGAGTAAAAAATTATTTAACTTGCTAAGACTACACGGGATATTACCGTTCTACAGGTGGGTGAATATATTGAGATGTCCCCCAAGTGAAAATGATTATTATTTATTTTTGGTTGTTTCACTGTTAGTCTAGAATGGGGTTTTTGGGAAGCCACCAGGTCTAGTAATAACATTACATAGGTGGTTCTGCACTAAGCAAATTAATGAACTTAAACTTTTGAATTATAAAACAGCAACACTCTCATCTGCATATAAATTCTAACTGACTTTCAGGAATCACATGCATCTATAATGTCGTACACAGAGGTTTTTGCTTATTTAAACTGATTAAAGCGCCATCCGTTGCATAAAATTTAAAGCAAAAACAGATTCACGGAGGATAGAATCAATTTTTGTAACACCTACATAAATGATTATAAAAAGCATTTCTTTTAATTTTTAATAAAATTTTATATTTGATTCAATTGCTTTGGATGTGTTTAATTTACTAAGTGAACTGATATTTTTAGTATGCTTTTACTACTTTAGATATTTGAAAACATATAGGTTAACCTAAAAGAAGTAAGAGTCACAGAGGATAGGATTTAGACTATTAAAACATTATAAAAAATAATTAATTGCGGTTAAAAATCTGGAACCTGAGCTGTAATATCTACTTAATTATGAAAGATCAAAACACAATAAAAATGTAGGTCAAACTCATTTAGTTTTATTAAATATCAAGGGGTACCTTTGGGGGACATTTCGTGAGATTCACCCAGGAGTAAAATATTCAACAAAAAATGATTATAATACAAGCGAATCAAAAATTGCTACAAAATCTTGTAAATTTCATTCAAATCGGACAAAAATTGTTCGTGTTACATCAGTTTGAATTTTAAAAAATGTCTAATTTTGGATAAAACATGATTTATAAAGGGACAAACTTTATGAATGTGTATATTTACCAATGATCCTTGGTTACAGTATTTAGATGTAATTTGAGAACTAAATAGTTTTCATATTTACTGTAACCCACAATTACAATATTTATTTTGTGCAACCCTGTATAATCATTAAATACTGAATATAAATTTGTCATATAGGTGCACATGCATTGAAGTAAATCATATCGTTAATTAACACATAATCCAGCTAATAAATTTTGGCATGCAATTTCAAAATAAAATTTTGTTAGTGCCTCATTAACAAAATGCCGTGCGTTGTTGATAAATCTAAATGGCCTGTAACACAGACTCTGAGCCACAATAAAATCCTCTTTACTGTGGTTTATAGTTGTTTAAACGTTTATTTCGGTCTTAATCAGATTTTCAAAAACTTCAACTGGTTATAAAGTGTGTTCAAGGAGCTCACAGGGTCGGACCACAAGATTTAGTGTGTTTATTACACATATCAACGAAATTTTTAAACAGAAGCCAGACCATATTTCTGCTGTCCCAATAGATATTCTTTTGGGTATCTACATCTTTAAGAAATCGTTAGATACAATTTAATTTATAGTATCGATCATAAATTTTTAGGAAGAAGAATATTAATAATATTCAAAACAAAACAAACATTTATGGGTGAATAAAACTAAATGAGTTTTAACTACACTTTTATTGTGTTTTGATCTTTCATAATTAAGTATGTAGATATTACAGCTCAGGTTCCAGATTTTTAACCGCAATTAATTATTTTTTACAATGTTTTAAAAGTCTAAAACCTATCCTCCGTGACTGTTACTCTTTCTATGTTATCCTATATGTTTTCAAATATCTGAGGTAGTAAAAGCTTACTAAAAATATCAGTTCAATAAGTAAATTAAACACATCCAAAGTAATCGAATCAAATATAAAATATTATTAAAAATTAAAACAAATCATTTTTTAACCATTTATGTAGGTGTTACAAAAATTGATTCTATTCCCTGTGAATCTGTTTTTGCTTTAAATTTTATTCAACGGATGGCGCTTTAATTATTTTAAATAAGCAAAAACCTCTGTTTACGACATTATAGATTCATGTGATTCCTGAAGGTCTGTTAGAATTTATATGCAGATGAGAATGTTGCTGTTTTATAATTCAAAAGTTTAAGTTCACTAATTTGCTATTTAAAACCTATCCACCGTGAAGTGTAATATCTCAGTAAGTACATTTTTATAAATATGTTAATAATAATAATAATAATAATAATAATAATAATAATAATATCTTTATTGCCCAACAGAAAAGGTATTCCAAATACAGGACAATTATAATAATATTATAATAATACCGAATATAATATATAATATATTATAAACAAATACTAAAGTAAATATAAATTCAAAATAAGTTTAGCTAACTTCAAACTAATTTATGGCCAACGTTGTAATATTTTCAATAGTGGCAACTGCAATATCACATTCATTGCATATTTTATTGAAGTTACCACTCATGACAAATACTGGAGATTTCAAAAGAACATTGGTTCTGGCATATGTATTACAGAAAGTTAAAGTAGATCTAGCATTAATTCGTGGTACGTGAATGTTAAAGAGTGATATCAAAAAGGTACTGTCTATTTCATTACTGAACAGCCTGTACAGAAATTTAATACTTAATAAAAATCTTCCACATTGCAAGGACCCATGGGCGCCGCTACATAGGGGCAGGGGGGGGCCCGGGCCCCCCCCTGGAAATTCATACCCAGAAATTCCGGTACTTCATAATTTGACGGTAAGTGCTGATCGTTATCATTTGTTCATTATTTTTTAGATAATTTAAGATTTGTGCCGTCTTAATGAACACTAGTGTTGTTACAGTTATAAAATGAATGAAATGGCTGGATGTTCAAAGAAATCAGAAGCACAGTTTACTGATTCCGTTTATAATCATATGGCGAAGAAACCAGAAGCCACAGATCATTATGTTCATATTCCAAAGATCTTCGATGGAATCTTATATACGTGCAATAAGGTTCATATCAATTTTGATTTGGAATCCAAGGGGTTTTAGCTTAAATAAAACTTAAAAATTGAAATAATCCGGACACTGTTCTTGGAAAATTTATGAAATAAATATTAAAAAAATAGAGGATTTATTTATGGATTCAGGATTTAAATCCTTTTTTGCAAGTGGATTTAGGATTTATGATTTAAATCCAGATAACGTAATGGATTTATGATTGAGGAATTAGATCCAGTTTATGGTTTATGGTGTGGATTTATGGATTTAGATTTAAATCCTTTTTGCCGGATCTTGCCCATCCCTGAGTAAGACACGTTCTTGGCTGACATATTTCTATATACGAACTATATATGTTGAAAAAGTCGACTATAGAAGAGATTTATTCATAAGCCTAGTGAATTGATAAACAAATGGTGCTAATAATTGTGTAAAATTTACAAATATACATACAGGGTGTCCCAAATGTCAACGATATCCTTTGAAGGACTCATAGGTCAGCTCATGACTAATCAGAATATCAAAACATGACCTTGGTAAAAAATCATTAGTTTTTAAGATATTAGCATTTTTATGAATTTTGTGAAACTTGACACAAAAACCCTGAATAGGACTGCTATTAATTACAATTCAAAATTAAATTAATAGCAGATTTTGTAGCTGTGGCACTCGAAAAACTAATCTAAGGTGTCAAGTTTTACAAAATTCATAAAATGTCAAAAACTAACGATTTTTTACTAAGGTCATATTTTGATTTTCTGCTTTGTCATGAGTTGGTCTATCAGTCCTCCAAAGGATCTCGTTGACTTTTGGGACACCCTGTATAAAGATGATATTTTATTTGACTTAAGTTTAATGTGAACTTCTACAGTACAACTTAATTATAAATAACATCTATCAAAATTGTAAAAAACTTTAAGGGCCCCCCCCTAGACGAATTCCTTCCGGCGCCCATGCAAGGACCTAACATTAAATCTATTCAACAATAAAATATATTGAGTACCTCTAGCAGGATAAATATTGTCAAGCCTAAAAGCTAAAATTTTCAAAAATCGCCTTTGTACTCTTTCTAATTGATCAGTTTAGGCATTATAACATGGATACCAAACAAGAAAGCAGTACTCTAGCCTGGTACGAACCAATGAATAATACAAAACTTTCAATGCACCCTCACAATTCATTGATTGAGTATTTCTATTTATAAAACCAACCATTTTAAGAGCAGATTTTACAATACTAGTGATGCGGTCTGAAAATGATAGTTTGGTATCAAAATATACTCCCAAGTCTCTGGTACCTGTACACCTTGATATGGAATCGTCATTAATTGTGTACTCAAAAATAATTTTATAATATAATATTTTTTTAGAGTAATGGTACACACCTTACATTTACCGATATTCAAAAAAAGTCTATTGAGGATACACCATTAATTTATTAAGTTTAGCTGATTTTGTAGGTATACACAGTCTGATGCATCTGAAACATCAACGAACAATTTCAAGTCATCAGCAAAAATCAAATGTTGACACTTTACAAAATTGGAAATATCATTGATAAAAAGGACAAATAATAGTGGACCCAGGTTAGAACCCTGAAGTACTCCAGAGCCTGGACTAAAACTATCGGAACCAAAACCATTGTAGGTCACAAATAATTGACGATTAACAAGATTGGAGTGAAATAAATTTAAAAGTTGATTGCTGAATCCAAATGATCTCAGCTTCATTAACAAGACTGTATGATCAACCCAATCGAAGGCCTTCGAAAAGTCAGTATATAATACATCTACCTGTTTATAAATATCCATTTTTTGAGCCACAAATTGAGTAAATTCTGATAGGTTCGTAACTGTGGAACGTTTATGCATAAAACCATGTTGCGTGGGGGTAATATAGTTTTTAACGCTGTTATAGATATGACTGTAGACGTTATGTATGTACAATTGTATTTTTAAAAAATATTAAGGTGTCAAAAGATACAATAACTTATTTCAAATATACAAAGGAATGTTAAAAAAAAAACATACTCTAATATTCAAAATGTATGATTTCTTAAAATTCTTGCATTAGTGCAGAACCACTTAGTTTATGTTATTACTAGACCTGGTGGCTTCCCAAAAACCCCATTCTAGACTAACAGTGAAACAACCAAAAATAAAAAATAATTTTTCTTCTTTGGTTTAATTTTAATTAATAAAAATGTAGTAAAGTCGTAATTTCCCTAGGTCCCTAAATGAAAGCAATAAACATAATTTAAGTGCGGTCCTGCGCTGGAAAACTATTGTGTACGAATCGGTAATAAATGGGAAATATCAAACTTTTCTCGTTTCACGGCGAAAGATCTATTTCGGGAATGCCAAACTTTTATAAAGATGTACGCTGAGAATCCACAATTTTGTTTGATCCCGCGGTCTCTTTGAACACGGTCAGTGAAAACCACATACATCATCAACAACAACAAAATGGATGAGCTCAGCAAGGAACAAATCGCTTGTAAGTGAAGTGCTTAAGTGTGGAAAAAAGCCTAATAAAAATAAAAATTTAACAAATTAAAACTTTTTTAGTGTTGAAAAATGCTTTCGACACTTTCGACGTGGAAAAGAAGGGCAGCATTGGTACCGTCATGATTGGTACCATCTTGACCATGTTGGGAATCCACACCACCGACACTATTTTGGCTGACATCATCAAAGAAGTAGATGAGGATGGTAAGTTAACCCTAACAACTTTTACCTAAGGTTCTAAAAATTTTTTTTCCAAAGGTTCCGGTGAATTGGAGTTCGAGGAGTTCATCATCCTTGCCTCCAAATTCATGATTGAGGAAGATGCCGAAGCCATGCAACAAGAGTTGAAAGAAGCATTCCGTCTATATGACAAAGAAGGTGAGTACTAGGGTGATTCATTTCCGCAAAGTTTTTGTTTTCTTCGGTGCTCAAGCAAAATATTAATCTGCATATAGAAAAAAAAATTCTCAACAAGTTTGAGCTCTTAATATAAATTTTAAGTACTTACTATTTAAATTTAAAGTTTTACCGTTTAAAATGCATGTAAAAAATATATATTTTTTTTCAAATTTCTAATGCTTACCCACCTTTGACAATATTGCAAATCGATTTAATACACCTTATGGGGAATTACACGCTCTTTAAAATTGCTTTTGAGTTTTTTTTTGTAACTCACATTGGTTCACCAGCAGGAGTCATCAAAGGACAGTTTTTGAAAAAAATCGTTTTTTTTTAAATTTTTTCTAAAAAACCGCAAAAAGTAGGGAGAAAAAAGGGCTGAATCATAAAAAAAAGTTATCCAACCAATATTTAATGAATTTACAGCCATTTTTATAACTGAAAACGTAAGAAATTGATAATTACCAACTCCTAATGTTATTTAGATTGATTTTGTCTATTTATTATCATTATATTTCCCTACACTAAGAAGTTTTTTAAAATTATTGATTTCTCACTTATAATGAATAAGAAAACAACAGATAAATTCATAAAAAACAATAAGAAAATTGTAACGTGGATTTTGCAATTTTTCAACATTTCTGTCATATAGCAAGAAATATAAATGAAGATTATTTAATTTTTTGAAGCGAAATTTGGAATATGTTACATAACCTTCTGTATAATTCGATTAAAGTTTTGTTGTTTTTTTATGAATTTATGTGTTGTTTTCATATTCATTATGAGTGAGAAATCATAATAATTTTAAAAAAGTTCTTAGTGTAGGGAAATATAATGATAATAAATAGAAAAAATCAATCTAAATAACATTATGGGTTGGTATTTATCAATTTCTTACGTTTTCAGTTATAAAAATGGCAGTAAATTCATTAAATATTGGTTGGATAACTTTTTTTTTATGAATCAGCCCTTTTTTCTTACTACATTTGGCGATTTGCTCGAAAAAATAAAAAAAAAAAACGATTTTTTTCAAAAACTGTCCTTTGACGACTCCTACTGGTGAACCAATGCTAGTTACAAAAAAAACTCAAAAGCAATTTTAAAGAGCGTGAAATTCCCCATAAGGTGTATTAAACCGATTTGCAATATTGTCAAAGATGGGTAAGCATTAGAAATTTGAAAAAAGTATATATTTTTTACATGCATTTTAAACGGTAAAACTTTAAATTTAAATAGTAAGTGCTTAAAATTAATATTTAGAGCTCAAACTTGGTGAGAATGTTTTTTCCTATATGCAGATTAATATTTGTAGTGCTTGAGCACCGAAAACAAACAAAAACTTTGCGGAAATGAATCACCCTGGTGAGTACTTTATTTAAAACAACTTTAGAAAACTACATACATATTTTTGTCACACTTTGACACTATGTTTTTATAGGTAATGGTTACATTTCCACAAAGACCCTTAAAGAAATCTTGAAAGAACTTGATGATAAACTAACAAATATCGAATTGGATGGTATTGTTGCTGAAATTGATACTGACGGATCCGGAACTGTAGACTTCGATGGTAAATATTAAGTTTTAAAAAATAACATATTTGGTTTAAATACTATTTCTCTTTTACAGAATTCATGGAGGTCATGACAGGAGGAGACGATTAAACCATAGAAAATTACCTAAATAAATTTTATATAAATTAAAATAAATATTTTTTCCTTTTTAATATGTATTATTTCCCCTTATAATTGTATAAAGATTATTTTTTTATTAGAAATTAGGTAAATGCTCTCCTGTGATATATTTTTAGTTAAATAAACTGCATTTTGAAAAACTTGTGTATGCTTTCTTAATAAACAATTATTTACTTTACTTTAAAGTATTTATGACGTAAATGTATAATAAATATACGATTTTATATTTTTATAAACTATAAAACCTCGCTTACTTAAATACCTTCATAAATATTTTTTTAAACTTATCCACCTACATGCATACATAAATATATTATAAATATAAAATGAGGAGATACGCTTGAAATATATTTAAACGAAAAAATCCATTTATGATTTATGTTTTGTTTACATATGGTGATCTATTCTCTCAAAATATTGACGTTATATATAGCCTTGAAAATTATTTATTAAAAATTTCTTTTAGAATGTAAAAGAATGTTAGGTACATTTAATGCAATATTATTATTGGTATTGGGTAGACATTTTCCAAATAAGTATACGATTTTTTTAAAACAGTCTGAAAACTTTAATTTTAACATTTTAACTTACTATAATTAAATCTATTATGTGGAATGTTTAAAATTTGATTTTAATCAATTTTAATTATTACAAAATCAGGGTTATTACCACACAAAACTTGTGTGTCTACAAAATAATTTAAGTTTTAATATACTTTTACAATATTTTTATAATTTAACCAGTATAAAAATAAAAATAAAAATGCCGCTACAAATCCAATTAAATTAAAATTTGTACAGAATGAAGACTATAAATACTACTATATGGGTGAATCTCACGAAATGTCCCCCGATGGTGTTACCCCGCGATATATAATAAAACTAAATGAGTTTGACCTACACTTTTATTGTGTTTTCATCTTTCATAATTAAGTAGATATTACAGCTCAGGTTCCAGATTTTTAACCGCAATTAATTATTTTTTACAATGTTTTAAAAGTCTAAAACTTATCCTCCGTGACTGTTACTCTTTCTAGGTTAACCTATATGTTTTCAAATATCTAAGGTAGTAAAAGGATACTAAAAATATCAGTTCACTAAGTAAATTAAACACATCCAAAGCAATCGAATCAAATATAAAATATTATTAAAAATTAAAAGAAATAACTTTTATATCCATTTATTCTATCCTCCGTGAATCTGATTTTTTGCTCTCAATTTTATGTAACGGATGGCGCTTTAATCATTTTAAATACCTAAGCAAAAACTTCTGTTTACGACATTATAGTTGCATGTGATTCTTGAAGGTCAGTTAGAATTTATATGCAGATGGGAGTGTTGCTGTTCATTAATTTGCTATTTAAAACCCATCCACCTCAGTAAGTAGATTTTTTTTTAAATTTTTTTATGTATGTACAATTGTATTTTTAAAAAATATTAAGGTGTCAAAAGATGCAATAACTTATTTCAAATATATAAAGGGACGTTTAAAAAAACATATGAAATCCTAACCTCCGTGAAACTATCTTCCGTGAATCTCTAATATTCAAAATGTTTGATTTCTTAAAATTCTTGCATGCATTAGTGCAGAACCACTTATGTTATGTTATTACTAGACCTGGTGGCTTCCCAAAAACCCCATTCTAGACTAACAGTGAAACAACCAAAAATAAAAAATAACCATTTTCACTTGGGGGACATCTCAATATATTCATCTATATATTTTAAATAGTTTTTAATAATATATTATATATCAAGTTTGATAAACGCCATTTTAGTCACGACAAAAACTTAATATTATCTAAATAATGATTTAAATGAAATATTTGCATAGGAAGACATACTTTAAAGTATTAAAATAATTTCAAAATATGATTATGTTAAGAAAATATTTTATCCTTTTTTTATTACTTTAATTGCAAAATATTACCACAAAATGTTGAAAATTCTTACACGGGAAATGTTAAAGGTACAAAAAGTGACAGTTGTATTTATTGGAATTCCCGTTAGAATTTCTAACTTGGGAATCTACCGGCGTAAAAATCTTAAATTTTTCTGTGTAAATCAAAATTTATCCCTTAAAAATAGACTAACAATCGATATAAAAGCAGTTTTTCACATTAAAAGAGAAGAGAATGTTTTATGGGCACTGTACGCAAAATTTTAAATGCTTTATCAGTTAATTCTACTGAAATCCACTACAACGGCGAAATCAAAAATACAAATCAAACGTTTATATAATCTCTTTAAATATTGGAGACAAGAAACTATTTAATAATTTTGTATTGAGATTTGGAAAAACTTTATATTATTATACACCGCCGTACAATATTGAAAATACATTAAATAACATAGGAAGAGTGGTTCCATCTATCGCGTTTTGCTAGAAATCAGCAAAGAAAATGTTAACTTACAGGTCACTGCAGTGAATGTATTCTATAGTAAATTTAAAAGGAAACGACGTACACGTCATCGATGACGTTATAATTTTGCCCACTGCTACCAACACTAAATGTATAAAACGGAGTCTGTAATTGAATATTTTAATGCATTTTAAACATCTTTAGTTGGCAGCAATTGCAATGTTGTCATGTTTAGATTAAAATCTTGCTTAATAAAATGACGCATAAAAAAAGAAATTGACGTTTTAGAATTTTGAAGCTGTCATTTGTGTTTTTGAATATTTCGTTTAATTCTTGTATAATTTCGTTTATTTTGTTTGTTGTTTGTGTTATTTTATATCGTTTAAGTTTTCATTGCCGTTTTTTGTGTTTGTTATATATCGTTTTTTTGTTTTTCCTATATTTAAAATGCCGAAGCATGTAAAGAGTCGGAGTCAAGAGTTAGTATCACCTACCTTTGTTACCTTTAACAGGGAAAAATAGGATTATTATTAATTATATATTAGAATATTTAACAAAATAGATGTTGGATCCATAAAATAATAATATATACCAGAGACTGACTTTAGATGGCAAAATTTCTGTGGTTTATAGCTGAAAATGTGTTTAAAAATGGCTAAAAACATACTTTTGGCGGTGCATCCATATAAGTTATAAAACTATGACTTTTGACATTTTGGTATTCTAAGGTCCCAAATCTAGGGACCCTATGGTATTATTCAAGTAAACGCCATCTATCACCCTGTAGTTGCACTACTACTTTCACTTGATGCAATGATTTTAGCATTACATTGACAACCGTGCCCGATCAGCTGATTGATGACCTGTTCGTCGTTTCCTTTTAAATTTACTATACATGTAGCATACATTCATGTACATAACCTATACTATAACATGTTAAACTTCAAACCTGACATAATGTCGCAACCTCGATAATTTTTAATGTTAGTACAAAATTATTAAATGTTTAGAAAAATAATGTATATAACACCACGGCAAAGAAAGCATATTAAGTGCCTTGCTGGGATCTGCAGCTTTGGCTTTAAATAAGCACTTTTTTATGGATTTTGGCCGCTTTTTTATCATCCCAGTTCATAATGCAAAGTCCAGACAAAGACCGACAAATTCTCAATTATCTTCTTTAAATAAAATAAAAAAAATAAAGATTTCCCATTATCACAAGATATTTTCTGAAACCTAAAATATTGTATTGTCTTACATCATTGTTCTGAAACCGTTTAATCTAAAAATACAGGAGGGATTTTTTGCCACACTACGGTGTTTGTTTCCCGGTTAAGTATAGCCTTTCCCGCACCAAACACACGACAATTTACTACGGGTTAAAAAATTTAATTCGATTGTGCTTTACGCTTGGCCTGCGGCCAGAAAACAGAAAGCGGGTATAAAATTCGCGGGGACGAATCACGTGGCCCTTTCCGTACAGCCTCGGTCATACCGAGATGCTGGCATTGTTTATATTATATGATCGTAATGCAGGCTCGGAATCAGATAAAAATAGTGTTTACATTTTAATAAATTTTCAACTTTATATCCCGATTTTATACGTTTTTACGCATAAACTACATTTAACAACTTTATTTAATTCACTACCTGATTTAAATTATTTTGTCTACTTCTACCTTTAAATCGCCCATTATGGCTTAAGCTAAATTTACCTAATGCTTAATTGTCATAGTTACAATTATGTCAACAATTGTAACTTTAAAGGTCAAAAAATAAGGGTACATTTTGTTTAAATTAACCTTAATTACAAAAATGACACAATCAACAATAATTAAGTAAAGTCAAATTTACAATTTGCATTGTATCATTGTGTCAATTTTGTAATTCATACAAAATGTCCCCCTATTTTTTGACATAATCTTATCAGTTTATATATACCATATAAAAAAATTATACATTAAAATGTATAGGTATACCTAAAACTAGCAGGTCCTTTTAGTTCTGATTTTAATATTCTTGTTTCTCTTTTTTTTTAACGGTAGAACATTACTCACATAACAAACGTAATTACTACGTTTTACAACCATAATTAAAAAGATTTGAATATAAATTATCTTAAAATAAGGTTAGACGTCAAAAACGGATGTCTAGTGATGGATAAGTTAAAATTATTTTAACTTTCTCGTACGTACACAGTTGAAACTAATTTTCACTGTAAAAAACTGCTTCTATATCGGAATTAAACGGTTGTTAGTCCATTTTCAAGGAATAAATTTCGTACGGTTACTATTTTTTGTATAAACGCTCCATACAAATATTTAAGTTAAGCCATTTTTAGATAATAATAAGTATTTGTCGTAGAAAATGGTATATTAAAGAACTAATATCATAAGACGTCATTTTATCGCACGCGGACAATTTATAAAATGTAATGGACGAGTGAGACAAAAGGTCTTATGACATGAGTTCTTTATGCTATTTTATCTATTTTGCAAAAATTCTATAAAAAAATTAATTTTATACCTTAAATTTAATTTGGTCGAATTTTACTTTAGATAGTTGGTATCACAGTCATTGGTTTCACAGTTAAGGTCAAAATCGATTCGTCATGCTTTCCTTAATTTACTTATTTACAGTAAGCGGCTGTTAATGTTAAA